ACAAAAAAATAACACAATCACATTTTACACGAAACAAGGTTACATTAGAAAATATAAGTACGTCGATTTTAAGATTTATTATTGAGTGTAGAGATTACACTCCATAGGTAGAATTCAACATGTAGAGGGCGTTAGACTATAAATTTTCTAAAAAAATAAAAATTAACACATTTTTTGAACACAACAAAATAATATTAACTAAACAAAACTAGAAAACGTATAATAAATTAAAATTAATACGTAGCCAAGAGTCATAATTCAAGATTTTTCTAGGGGGTGCCCAGCAGTAGTTGGGGGGGGGGGTAGCATCCCCGAGCGCCAATGTAATTACGCCAATGAACGGCGTACAATGAAGAGTCATATCAAACAGCGTATTCAATATCATAATTTTAGTCTTTTACACTGAAATTTGGCGATCCTACGTAGATATTGGCATGTCTTATGTTATACAGGGTGTTTGAAAGACCATTTTGTAGATACAGGGGATTAAAATCTTCATTTTTTTTTTCGATTTATTATAATTTTCTTCCTAGTGCTTTCAGCCATTTGAACCACAGCGATTCGTATCCACAGATTTACCAGGGAGGGGGGGGGGTTATATGGGTTATCACAGAAATATTTTTCTAAAAATATTTACATACAGCCCATACAGGGTGAGTTTCCTACGATGTTCTCTATGGGCATCTCGGAAACTAATGGAGTTATAGAGTCGGTTAAATGGGGAAAGAATTGCAGTTTTGTGGGATCATAAATATGCACCTTTCAGATTTTTGAAAAAGTTCAAGGCTTACTAGATATTTCGAAAAAAACAAATTTTGGCTATTTTAAAAATCGTTCCTAATTCCATTATAATTTATTTTAGACAAAAAGTTTTCAGATAAAATTTGTAGATAATCACATCCCTAATGAGTTTGTGTTCTCCGATTTTTTTTCTAAAGACTGTCATTTTTGGCATAATACGACACAAACATATGTTTTTTTAGATAGAAACCATAGTTGGCCATGACTTCATAAAAAGCGCCATTTTTTAAGCTTTTCAGCGATATAGCTATAATATGTTTTTTTTTTCGAAAAATTACGGAGTTATAACCAATTCTTATCTGTCTTGACTAATTTCACTTAGTTCTTAGTTGGCATGGTTTTCTTATTTTGTTATCATTTATAACTCATAAAAAGACAGAATATATTATTAAACGGTTCTTGGGATTTCCTATGTCCCGTCCGACGATGCAACACTCGATGATACATTATATATCGATGATACATTTATATGTATCATCGATGATACATTGATACATATAAATTTATTATATCTTCAGTATTGCAGCTAATGATCACACGATCACTGTGACTAAGAGGGGCTCAGTCTTCACTCAATAAAGGGTCACCACAAAAAACGGCACAAAATACAATTTACCTATAAATAAAAAGGAAAGACAACAACTGTCACTGTCATGGAATGTCAGTTGGACTGACTTTAGCTTTAATTTTATCACTTTTTATATTTTATAAGTTACAAATACATTTAAATATATTTCTATAAAAATGGAGAAGCATCAGAACACATTATTACTGAGTGCGCCGAGACGACAACTGTTCGTGTCATAAACTTGAGGACGGCAGATGTCGGAGATGGAGAAACTGGCCTCTATGGAGCTGTCTCAGATACTGGCTTTTGTCAAAGCCCTGAGACTGTATGATGGGGAACACATACTAGATCTATAAGGTCGCGATGATTAACCCCCTCCACCCCTAAACATTCTACATTCTACATATTTCTATTGAAGGAATTTAGATATGTTAAAAAATGCTCTACATATCTAATCAAGTTGAAAAGAGTCTGTCATCCGTTAAATTATTTGTTCACAAACTTTCTATAAGCTATTTACTAATTAAATGAAATGTTTCAAGTAGTTTGAAAGTTGAGTATCGTTTTGAGGCCTTTAAAACATCAATTTACATGAAAATTTTATGCTGTCAAAAATGTGTCTTATCATTTTGCGTTGTGCCCGTCCATTATCTATTCTCAATTACAAGCTGCCCCCTGTTTTGTTATGTCTCGGTGCATAATTTTAACTATGCCTCGCATTTTTCAAACCGTAACAATCGGAAAATGCCCATTTCCTTCGAAAATTACCCTATTCTTTAGTTCCTTGACAACGTGATAATACGAAGTTAAGCACGCAATCAATTTGCATAGGAAATTAACTAAATGATACGGCTATTAAGCCTTAGACGCGACTAAATGTACGGCAACTGTTACATTTCCATAGATCTCATTAAAGAACATTAAAGGGTCTTCCTCAAAAAATAATTCTGTTTGGAAAATAGTATGTAGAAAACTAAGGGTAAAATTATGTAATATTTATATACAAATTTTTGGAAATTTTATTAAATCTTATGTTGTTCTGTGTCTAGATAAACGGGTGGGGAGGGGATCACCGCGACCTTATAGATCTATTAAACGAAACTTGCAGTGTACCGAGCAATTATAATCCCCACCATGTTATATTGGAGGGAAACCTGGGTTCCGTACCGCCGACACATGAACGCATTAAACAAGTTGCAACAGAGACACATTAGACAACTTTTAAGAATCCGGTGGTTCCATCATGTCTCAAACGTATCGGTGCTTGAAGAAGCTAACTGCGAGAGTATTGAAGTCATGGTTACAAAATCTCGCTTAAGATGGGCTGGTCACGTATGCAGAATGCAAGAAAACCGCATACCAAAATCTCTGCTTTACAGTAAGAGTGTAGACAGTAAGACGAGGCCGGGTGACCAAACTGAAAAGGTACAAAGACATTTTCCACGATAACTTAACGGGAATTAACATGCAGAATGAGTGGGAAGAAGCAGCCCACAATAGAACTCAATGGAGAAGAATTGTAAACTCAGTTAACAGTGACAATCAAAAAGTAAAGAGGCAACAAAGCAATGAGATCCGGAGTGCGGTAGGCAGATAACATCACGTATCGGGCTTTTCAGTCACAGAAAAGCTCATGAAAGAAAACGCCTTGCTTGGCCATCTTTTGACGTGTGTTGAATACTCGTCAGCGAGTAGTGGCCAGTATATGTAGTAGATCTATTGTGTGCCCCTTTTTTGAGTAACTCATCATACTGTCTCAAGGCTTTGAAAGCCAGTATCTACGGACGGTTTTACAAAACGTTACAAAAAGTTTATGTCACGAATGGCGATGGCGGTCGTCTCAGCGCACACATTTTTTGTACGCGTGATGAGGTTTTCTAGCAAAATTTTTCTCCCAGAATCTGTATTCGCTGTTGTTTCTTAGCTTCAATCTACGGAGGTGTTGGTTGTGGAGACAGTGTCCTATAAAAAAACTCGTGAGAATCCGAAGATTATTCTTACTTAAATCCAGGATCATCTTGGTCGTAAGTCTTGAGAAATTTCTTTGAGTATCTTTGACATTTGGAGGATTCTCATTCCAGATAACGGGTGAAGTCTTTTAGGTTTATGAGCTTTAAGTTGGTTTCCCCTTGGAAAACAGAACGTGTCTGGTCCACTTAGTGGAGTGTTCGCTCCGTTTCTAGCTAGATTGTTTGCTTTCTCAATACTTCCTATCCCTTTGTAGGCTGGCAGCCAGAGTAGGAGGACTTTGTTTCCTTTGCCTGATTTATTTGGCTTCTGTAGGCATTCTTTACCAACTTCGAATTGATGACTTGATCGCTTTAACTGTTGCTTGACTATTTACTTACTTTTACTGTTGCTTGACTTTGACCGATTACTGAGTTGATCGCTTTTAATGTTGCTTGACTATAGGATATGGTAAGATATGGTTTATGGTATGGTCTTTTAACTGCTGAGCAAACGCTTCTCTCTTCTTTTTCTCCTTTTTTTTCTAAATATTATAGTGAAGTATTTCTCAAATGTATGTCATTGACTGGGAGCTGGAGGAGTGGAGTTTTCTTTTTAAGAGTGTTTCAAGCTCCTGGGCTGACAATTCTCTCAGTACTGTTTCCGTCAATGATCATTGTAATCACTGTTGCATTGGCATATCTATCAACACACAGGTTTTCCCTTGCTGTAGAATGCTTTAGGTTTGTGTACCAAGAAACTGCTCCAAAGTACAACATGGGTCTTATTATCATGGCACACATCCAACGCAAAATGAATGTGGCCCAGCCCCATCTATTCTACGGGGACAACAGAGTTTAAATATCTTTGGGGACAACCGTATTGTCAATACCCGGTATGATACCAGGAATATACCAGTATATACCAGGTATTCGTCAATGTCTACAATATTCCTCAATCGGTATACAGGGTGGTGACAATTTGGACGCTTAACATTGGCATCTCAGAAACTACGAGAGATACGAAGTCGGTTAAATGGGACAAAAGTTGCGTAATTTGAAGTTTGGCACACACCGATGAAGAAAACCCCGGTATCTTGATTAGTTTCGGATTTATGTAAAAAAAATGAAAATAATACGTTTATTTTAAATGACATTATCTTCAAAACTATTGAATCTATTGCAACGTAAGTTGGTAGTTTTATATTTTAGACCTCGGCCAGTTAAATGCCGTTTTCAGAAAATTTCTAAGCCTTCTAGATTTCGCACAACAACAGCCAAGTTTTTGTTTTCTTATGGCCGCAATTTTGAATTTTTATACTATTAGATAGGGCGAAAAAAGTCTATACGGTGGTATCTAATTTTTATTCATTATTATGTAAATTCCCTAAAAAATAGATTTTTTAAAAATTCGCCTAAGATCAAGTCTGCCTTGGAAATCCAATTGACACTTTGTATGTCAGCAAGTTATTTTTTGTTTTTTCTATTAAGTGTCAAATCTGAAAGCACAAAAATTGTATAGTAGAGTTCAATACAGATCGATACAAGGAAATGTATTAAAATGACTCATATCCTTTGAACTTTGTTTCTGAGGTTTTGACTTTGTTTATGAACTTCCATGACTCGGCACACTTCCTTCCTCCCAAATAGGTATTTATTTCTTGACACTTCTTATCCCATATTTCTCATTTTGCAATTCTTATTTTTTGTCTTGTTGTTCTTTTAATTTCTAGATATGTGTCTCTATCTTGTTGTTTACTACTCAACCATTTTTTGTACGCGTTTTTCTTTTCCTTAATTAAGCAATCTATTTCTTCATTCCACCATATGTTGTTACTTTGAACCTGGGCTCTTAATCTAAGAGCTTCTTCCGCTGCACTGTGAACACTGCTTATAATATTTGCGTATATTTCTTCAACGCTGTTGTTCTGAGTTATACTTATCAGTTTTTCATCCAATCTTTTATGGTAAAGTTGTCTGGTACTCTCGGTTATTAGGCTATCCAGATTATATCGCTTAGATTCAATACGTTCGGTATGCTCATAATTTCCATTGGTTTCCTCTTTTCGTCTGAATGGTAATATTATTTTAGCTTTGACTAAGTAATGATCTGATCCACATGTAATGCCTCTATATGTATGTCCGTACGTTATTTATCTGAAGTGTTGTTTGTTGTCTTACTATGACGTAGTCTATTATTGATTTTAGATTGCTAGTTGGTTGTGGCCAAGTGTATTTATGTATATCCTTATGCTTATAAAAGCCATTTGTGACTTTTAATAGGTGACTTTCACATATTTCTATTATTCTTTCGCCATTATCATTTAGAGTTATTTCTCCATGTGGGCCCATTACTTTATGGTTTGTCCTTCGTCCAACTCTACCGTTAAAATCGCTAAGGATTATAAGTTCCCTTCCATTCCCTATTTTTGTTATTTCTTCATTAAGTTTTCCAAAGAAATTGTCCTTCTTATGATACGGCTCGTCATCAGAAATTGCATAGACTCCAAAAATGGTGACTGATTTTTGATTTATATTCATATTAACTTTAATTATATTTTCATCTATGCTCTCAAAGTCTGTGATTTTATTTTGGTGTTTTTTATGAATCAAAATGGACACACCTCTTTTCGCTTTTTCATGTTTTGCAACACCACTATAAATATGCACATAATTGTTACTTAGTTCTGTGCCATTGCCTTTTCTTTCTGTTTCAGTTAAAGTTACAATATCCATTTTTAATACTTCTAACTCTTTAGTGATTTCCTCAATCTTTCCGCTGATACTTTGTACATTCCAAGTGCCAATATTCATTGTCCATTTCCGTAGCTTACGTTGTCTTCCAATAGTTCCGTCCGAGTTTCCGAGGCAAATGTTAGGCTTTTTGGTAAGTATGTGTTTTTCTACGTGACAGGAACCAACCTGACGCCTAAACCCCCAACCTGGAGGGCCAGGTAATTTTTAATTAAGGTTTTCTTCCTTTAGAATGGTTGTCTTTCCGGATTTCGGAGACTACTCTTCTCCTCGAGGTTCTTCCGCCTTCTAGTTTATTCCTTCCGCCGTTGACCTTCTGACCTGTACCCTAGTCAGGGACCCTTACAGGGTGCTATCATCCGGGCCAGATGAACCCTGGTTTCTTTACCAGGTTGTTACTCTTCCCCCTCCTCCTTCCCCATCTTTCCGTTGATGGGGCCCCAGGCTTGGGACTGGTATAGCGGAGTTCTGAAGATATTGATTTTAAAGATATAGTCATTAAAAAATAAACGTATTATTTTTATTTTTTTGACATAAATCCGAATCTAATCAAGGGATCTGTTTTGGGCCCCATTCTTTTTTTGATTTTCATTAATGATCTACCACAGTGCTACAATGAACCAAACTACACTCTTTTTGCTGACGACACGACGATATTGGTGCGAGGCTCTTCATTGGAAGCATCCATTGAAGCGTCTATGTTTTCTCAGGATGTGGCAGAAGATTGGTTTAAAGCTAACAAATTACTTTTGAATAAAGATCAAAGATTCAAGATTAGACCCTGTCAAATTTCTGGGAGTTTATCTTGAGCCACGACTACAATGGGGTGCTCATATTGACGCATTCGCAAGTAGGTTGTCTAAAGTTTTGTATTTATTGCGTGGTTTAAAGACCAGAGTGTCGACGAATGTATTGATGACTGCATATTTCTCAATTTTCCATAGCCACTTAACATACGCAATTCTTGCATGGGGTCACTCTCCCGGTATTTCCCGGGTTTTCCATTTGCAACGAAAAGCTCTGAGGCTTATTGGGGGGCTACATTTTGCAGACGACTCCAGAACAGTATTTAAAAGAATGAACGTACTTACATTGCCATCTATTTATATATTCCAGAACCTGCTCTATATAAAGGAAAATTTGGATTGTTTTGTGGCGCACGAGAACATACATAACTATACTACAAGGAATAGAGAGTGCATTGCACTCATATATTGGCGACTGAGAAGGTGTCAGACTGGACCGGGCTATTGGGCCATAAAACTATACAATGTTCTGCCAAAGCATTTTAAAAGTATGTGTTTGAAAGATTTTAAAAGAGAAATTAAAAAATTTTTAATTGATAACAGTTTCTATACTTATCATGAATTTATGGATTTCAATTTTTCATTATATTGTCCTACCTGAGTATTTAGCTAGTAAGATTTTATTTAGTGCATTGTTTGAATGTTTATTTTTTCTGTATTTTATTGACGTGTGTAAATTGTTCTTTGTAATTTTTTTATGACATGAATAAATTATTATTATTATTATTATTAAGATACCGGGGTTTTCTTCATAAGTGTTTGTCAAACTTCTAATTACGCAACTTTTGTCCCATTTAACCGAATTCCTATCTCTCGTAGTTTCTGAGATGCTAATGTTGAGCATCGAAATTGTTACCACCCTATATACCCTAGCTGGTGTATACCAGATATGTACCCAAATATTAGTTACCCACGCTTGGCATTTACCCACCGCCCATTACTGGTTATACATAATAGCTGTGACAATAGTATAAACATTATAAAGTGTTTATTAAACTTTATTTTCTAGTTTGTATAACATCAATATACATAGTAATAAAATCATCAACTGTTCAAAGGAAGGTGGGAATAGGCAGCGAAAAATGTCCAAACTTTTCTGTATATTCGTCAGTCTCACTATATTCTATATGATTGTCGTCTTCGCTATGGGTACGCCAAAATGTTTTTTCTGTCTTGGTCAATTTGTTGCACCAAGCCTATATAACATAAGAACTTTCAATACTTTTTTGTGCGATTCTAGGATTTATTGCACTGTAAGATATTCGAATTAATTAAATCTAATTAGATAGTAGTATACAGGGTCCGGCAATAGTGCGTCAGGCATCTGTAGCTCCTAGAATAAAAAACTTGGGAATTTTGTTTAAGCGTAAACCTAAAGTACCTATGTACAAGGATGTATTTCAGTGAAATATTTTAACTTCTCTAGGGTGGCTCAAAAAAGTGTGAGTGGATCGGGATGATTTTTTTTTAAATGGAACACCCTGTGAATTATTGCATTTTTGGCTTCCTTTCATATCACTTTACATAATCTTAAGATATGAATAAATATATTTTGATAGTTTCGGAGATATTAATAAATAAATAAAAAAAATTATATGTTTCAATCATCATTAAAAAAATATTAGGAATACAAGAACTGTCCTGAAATCAAAACTATATTAGGTATTTACTATCTATCGGTATTTGCTATCTCCCGTTCGGGACTTAATATCTAACCGACACTTTCCGACAAGTCGGAATTAAATATCTCTGCGCTGTGGTTGTCATTTTGTGGATCTGTCCAAGCTCACCTGATGATGGAGTAGGGCTCCGAAACCGGTAGTGAGAGCAGGTTGATCCACATTATGACAAACACAGCGTAGAATTAAATTTCTATATCAGCAGTTATGTGGCAAGAATCTTTATATAATTTTATTAGGTATTTACTTTAGATGGTATATACTTAACTTTGCTATAAATATCGTAATCTTAAATCATATAGGATGTTCAAAATTCTACGCCAAACTTCCTAAAATAGAAAATATTTTTTCTTTGTTTTTTTTTAAATGGAACAAACACCATGTAAATTATTTTTTTGTTAGATGGAGAATTAAAAAATGAACATTTTTTGTATTTAAAGTATTTCGAAGTTTTTAATGGTTTTGTAGATACACGCAGTATTATTTCATTCTCTCAACGGTAAACTACGAGAGAAAAATCATTGGTGGCTTTGATAGAAATTTACTATGGAAAATGCCATATGAAATATAAAATCGCGAATACCTGCAAAACCGTTAAAAATCTATATACTTTAAAATTAATATATTTTAAAATACTCTAAATACAAAAAATTTGCATTTTTTAATTCTCCATTCATTGTAAAAATAATATACAGGGTGTTAAATTAAAAAAAAAACGAGGCAAAATTACTTTATATTTTAGAAAATTTGACGTAAAATTTTGAACATCCGCTGAAAAAGGCTGAAAAATATATATTTTTTTATTTATTTATTAATATCTTTGAAACTATCGAAACATATTTACTCATACCTGAGGATTATGTAAAGTAGTCTGAAAGGAAGCCAAAAATGCAATAATATACAGGGTGTTCCATTTTAAAAAAATCATCCCGATCCACTAACATTTTTTTGAGCCACCCTATAGAACTTAAAATATTTTCCTGGAATACATCCTAGAACATATACTTTAGATTTGCACTTAAACAAAATTTTTAAATTTTTTATTCTAGGAGCTACAGATGTCCGACGCAGTATTGCCGGACCGTGTATAAATAAATATACCATACAACGGCGCTTTTATTAATGTGGGGCCCTCTATGGTGGTGCCATTTACTATTCATTATATGTTTTACGAATAATAATAAACCAGCCAACACCTATCGTCAACTACGAATTACTAATACTTACAAAATTCTACAATATGATGAAAAAACCGGTGTCAGCGATGGCTTTGAAATGAAGTTCGATGTCATTTCACATGTAAAATTATCAGCGAGAAAGTCATCGATGTTCATTTCCAAGCAAATGGACGCCGTTTTTTTCGATCATATGGTAATAAGTAATATTAGACATCAATATTCTACCTGTTCATTGTGAGTGATCCAGGACACTTCCATTTCGTTTCCATATTTATTGGCAAGTTTAGTTGCCTTACGAAGCATTTTTATTGTTTCTTGATAGTTGTTAGTTTTTACGAGGTGATAATATGATTTGAGATGATACAATCTGGAATAAAAATAAATATTGTTCTATTAATAAACAATAGTTGTTTACTTAAATGCATGGCAGTTGATAGACCTTCAAATTTATTTGATGCCTTTTTTCTATTAATTTGGTATTACCACAGATTAAGTATACTATACCTATGTATACAGATAAAAATCTTATCCCTAATTCGTGGTACGCGATGTGCAAACGAGTAATGACGATGTGCAAACGAGTAAAATTTCGTGTGCGCAAAAATAAACTCGCGTAAAATAACAACAAACAGCGTAATACGCTCCATTAGTGTGACGTCATGTAGCGGAAGATCAAGTGTCGCAAAATCCAAACAAAGCAAGAATATAATGGGACGGGATAATCTAATTTTTCTTAATTTTTTATTGTATTACTCTGTTCAAAGGATATTTGTATCTTTCTGAGTAAATATATAAGCGTTTACTATAGGTATAATTACATAAAAGGATACATATAGGGATAAGTAATATGACGTTATGTTAAAACAATAAGAACACGAATTTCCATAGTATTATAAAATTTATTAACTATAAAGTGCACTGGTACGGTTCAAAATTAAATGTACTTACTTGGAAAAATACAATTATCCTTAAGAAACAGTAATATAATAATAAACGGGAAAAAAGCGGATTAATAGTGGGTTAATTCACGCTTTGTTTAGATTTTGCGACACTGACCTTCTGCAACACAACGTCACCACTAATGGAGCGTATAGAGAGATATCCCTAAACCGATAGCGCGCATGGACGTTAATAAGGCCAGGTGTTATTTTCTTTACGTGAGGTGGTATTAACTCTCTTCATTTATAGTTATCGGATCGAACTATGAATTTAAAACTGTGAAATTGTTTTGTTTACTAGGCATTTTAAAACTAAAGAGCTAAAGTGCTTATTTCCAGTGTTTTATTGCTCAACCTCTGCCAGTGGGTTTAGAGCAACAAGCAACAAATTCTCTTAGAAGGGCTAAGTCGTCATCTGCTGTAAACAAGCCTCTTTATAGGTTCTTTAATATTGGAAGAGTTGGAATCCATATTTATTTAATTAAAACTAATCCCAGCTACTTAAATATCAAATTACCTAATAAAACTAGAGTAATAATTCAAAACAATTCAAACATAACCTAAAATAAAAGATCTCGCCGGCCGGCCCCGGTTGTCAAATACCCGCACATGCCCATTTAAGCAATTTTTAAACGTTATTTAGAAATAGCGCTTGGTGTAATTGACCCACAAATTACGTCAGGCCGTAACGTTATTAGCCGGCGTTGCGTTAAAAATTGACTCGCGCATATCGTAACCATGATAAGGTACGCGTAAATACTGCATGACGATATTCGCTTTTGCGATATCTCTCTAATAACTGTGCCGGTCAGGCGCTGTGCACAATTTTAGAGGCCATAAGTGGGCGTGCTATGTGCGCAAACTAGTAACCTAACTAGTGCCCGATTCCGAAAATTGGAACCACGAAAAACAATAAAGAAAAAACAAAGTTTATAATCTGAATAATCTGTGGTATTACTGTTTAAACCTCATACAATGCTTGTATGATTTATTGTTATTTTTCTCTATTTTTTTAATAATCATTTTTCAAGCAGTAAAAAAGAAAGTTTTTATGGGCAATACTTTTAGATTTATCTGCATAATATTACTAGAAATTTTCTTAAAGAGTATTTATACTATCCAAACGTAACAGAGTTATAATGGTTATACTTAAAATTATATTTTACCTTGGTAAAATAACTTTCACTGACTTTGAAGCTTTGAATAATGTCTTAAATATGTCGTTTACTTTCCTTGTGAGATATTCGACCATTCCTATACTTTTCTTGTCAATCTTTCTCACCATAGATATAATCATACCCTCTAATAAGTAAAGTGCAGTTAAAAGATTTTCCGCTCCATCTCCAACTTCCATTTTCATTACATCCTCCTCCCAAATTACAGCCCCTTCCCAATTTTCTGTTCTTACGTTCCTAGATAACGTAATGAAAAAGAAATTAGTAATAATACATACTATAATATACAGGGTGTCCCAGGTTGAGCGTGCATTAGAAGTCTCTAGAGAACTACAATATCTAGATCGGAGATTTTGTGCACATCATTGTTTCACAATTAGATCTATCGACTAAAAATATTTTCAATATGGCGGCACTCACAATATGTTGACAGCAACTTTCTTATTTTAAATGGGTGCCCCCATTTTTTATTACATACTTGTATATGCAGATACCCTGTATATGTAGGGTGACTCAAAGCCAAGGTACAAGTTTATTGAGAACTACTACTATTAGGATTATTTTGAAAATTTCGATTTTTACGCAGTCACCTGCTCCATCTATCTAAATTACTTTCAGCATCACAGTATTGCCGCATCGTTTGAAAAGTTTAAAATTATAGTAGACTTGTTATAGTCTATTTCTTAATGTTTGATAGCACAAGATATTCATTATAATGCAAACGGCGTTTTGTCGTGTACAGTGTGACATGCTAAAAGATGGGACCAATTTTATTTTAAGGGTATATGTTCCAATGAAATTCAGACAGCTTTAACACGTTTGTAGATGGACACATCCGATACGTTTGCCGAGAATAATAGGGGTTGCTCGTATAACAATAGGTTATAAAGATGTTTTCAGGGACTGACCTCACCAGTGTCCGGTATCAGGGTTTTAAGATTTATTTTATGTTTTGTTAAAATAGGTATATTTTGTTACACAACCTAAAATATTATGATAATGGCAATATAAATATTTTCTTACCCGTTATTGGCATTTTTAGTAACATGGAATTATACGAATACACTCAATTATCGTAAGAAATTTAAAGTTTTTATTGCAACAAAAAACAACTCACACATTTAGAAAAACATTTGAATTAATGTTAAGTATTTACAGTAATAGAATACAATATACAAGTATACATATATTTGGGACAAAACTAATACACAGCTCAGGATCTCTACTACCAGAAATCAACCGAAGAATTAAGTTAACATGGAGTACTTATGGAAGAAACTCAATCATATTCAAATCTAGAATGCCACTTTATCTAAAGAAGAAAACATTCGACCAAAGTGTACTACAAGTCATGACCTATGAATGCGAAACCTGGACTCTTAAAACAGGCATTATAAAAAAACTGCAGGTCGCACAACGTTCAATGGAACAAAATATGCTGGGAATAACCAAGAAAGACCGTAAAAGAATAGAGTGGATACGACAAAAGACCCAAATAAATAGATTTCATCCACAGAATCAAATCCCTCAAGTGGCAATGAGCAGGACACCTGGCAAAATTATTTAGAAATAGCGCGGCATTTAGAAATAGCTGGCAAGAAGGACGAACAGCAAATGACTAAGAGACCTAGAGGAAAACCAAACCTGAGATGGGACCATGATATTAGGAAATTAGCAGGGATAACTTGGGCATAGCCAACAATAGACAACAATGAGCCCAACAACAAAAGAGTATCTAATTATGTAAGGGAGGCTACACCATAATTGGAAATGGTTGAATAAGCTGAGAATAATGATGATGATCACTCCGCTTAAGTCAGAGTCGTAAGAATTTCCAACTGAAATTAGCAGAGTTCTACTATGTTCTTCAAGAGATTGTCAAGATTCAAGATCCCACATTTTTTGCCCCTCTTTTATGACTGAATGTTAAATAAAAAAGTCGGTTGATGGAATTTGTAAAAGTTCTAGCGCCTATGGTTTATGATGTTTTATGGTCCCAGCCCCTCTCGCTGTGCTATCAAACATTGAAAAATAAACTACAAAGGGAAATTACTTTAAACTCTCATCTCAACTATTTTTTTTATTATTTTTTTTGAATCAAAAAACTGGAAAATAACAGTGTTAGTATTTAGTAATTATAGTCATTAGATTTGTGGAAAATCTATTTTGAGATGTTTTATTAAGACAAATATTTTATATAGTTTATACTCGTAATGTAAACTATGTGCACAATTACCATAACCATAGGACAACTGTTAATCTTGTTAATGCATCGGGGTCCCTTGTTGCTGGTTCTCGACCTTCAGCTGAACTAAAGTTTACCGATAAGCGAATGGGCTCTATCACTAATCCAGTTTCCAGATGAAAGTTCACACATAATGCATGATACCAACATAAACCTATAAAAATTGTGTTTTACTAAAAATAAGTATTTTAATAACAGAAAAAGGTAATTTAATATTAACCTTTATAATTACTTTAACATTATATGTATTGATTATTTACTGTCCCTTCACATGGTACGGTTTCGATTTATTTGTCGAATCGATAAAAAAAATCGAATGCTACAGTGATTGGCGCATAATGCAGTGATATTAGGTAATGTGCTATTCAGGTGACCGATCGTATGCCATATACGTCCGATTTTGTCACTCTAAATCGTATGCGTGTGTATAAAAATAATTCTATTACCTATTATAATTTCATTTCAAGAATTCCTAAAAAAAAATTCCTAAACTAAAACTAAAGTGAGTGCATTCCACCTAAATTCAAGACAGACTATCTATCTTGTCGTCGTGCTGCAACACGTAAAAAAGTAGAAGCACGAAATTCCCTAATAAGGAAGCTGACCAACATTAAATAGTGAGACAAACCTATCGTGGTCAGAACTTCTGCTCAAGCTCTACGTTTCTCAACTGCTGAATATGCCTGCTCAGTGTGATGCCCATGCAAAAAAGGTTATGTCTCATGAACATACTGAGAAGCTAAAACAAACATTTGATGTTCGTCACTCAATCTTTGGCCAAGAGTGCGGCCCCACTACACTTAAATCCAGACGCTGTTTCCTAAGCCACCCTTTGGATGAACCCCACTACCCACTTAGGGAGGACTCATCAAAAAATGGTGTTTCTAGCGACTAGAAAACCTGGAGAGTACCAAACCGTATCAGAACTGAGGTGGCCCCAGTAAAATACAATCTGATCAAATGGGGTTTGCTAGACAGAAATGAGGACAAATACGAGTGCGGCGCCTGTCAGGACATGAAACATCTTCTTCAATGTCCTGCCTGCCCCCACAGATGTACCCTCGATGATCAACTTTTGGCTAAACGGGAATTATTGAACGTAGCCCATTACTGGGCTAACAAACTATAATTCGGATACGAAAAAGTAAAGTAAGTGTGAAAAAAGGATTGCTTGTTTCTCTCTAGATATCTTAGGAATTAGAATTTTATTTAAGTGCAAACCTAAAGTGTGTAATAGGATTTATATTTCAGGAAAATATTTTAACTTAAACAGGGTGGCTCAAAAAATGAGGAGGAATAAAAAGTGAATTGATATTTTTTTAACGGAACACCCTCTATGTTATTGCATATTTGGCTTTCTTTCAGATAATTTTACCGTTGATTGAGAAAATTGGGAAGATACGCAACATAATGGACGAATTCGTGACAAGGCTGATTTGATTTCCCCTTACGTCTCAAGTATTACGGTGTAAACACCAATCCTTCTGCGGTCAACACAAGTAGGTATTGGGGCACTTGAGCTAGACAGCTACTTCCGGTCCAGACATCTAATTCCAGGAACCCAATCAGATATGAGTAGGTATTGGGGCACTTGAGCCAGACAGCCACTTTCGGTCCAGACACCTAATTTCAGGAACCCAATCAGATAAGAACATGCAAAATACGTTAATAAATAAGAATAAACAGGTTTGAGCCACGGTGAACCGCTTTTGAACGGCTCTTAGTTTAAAACAACAGACCTGTTCATTTTTTGTTTAGACTTGTTTATTTCTGTTTTAAAGCGGTTCACCGCGGTTCAAACCTGTTTATTACTATTTATTAACGTATTTTACGTGTTCTTATCTCATTGGAATTCCTGGAATTAGGTGTCTGGACCGGAAGTGGCTGTCTAGCTCAAGTGCCCCAATACCTACTAACGCATGAACGCATAAAAGATTTATTTTGTCTAATTCGGCCAGCAAAGGCATATCGAAGACGGTGTGGAACTGAAAGCGACAGTGTTGCCATATTAAAATGTGTAATATCTCTAATACGTTTGACGAAAATATATTTCGATGAAAAATCTGGGTTTTAGTATTGCGGAAATGAATTCGTGTTAAACATAAAATAAACAACAATAATAAAAATTCTTTTATAGGTTCGAAAAAGTCGTTTCGTTGGCTTGGACATGACGATTATTGACATTTACCATAATATTTTCATATAAAATAACAGCGATCTTCATTCCTGACGCCGTTCTTTGTTTAAATGTATAATATTATATTAAATTGTATAATGATAGAAAAACCGTATTGTTAACGTACCTACTATATCCAAAATACATAAATGTACGGATTTATAAGTAGTTTTGGCAACACTGTCTCCGGAAACTACTCACTCTGTCGACTGAAAGCAGAACTACGGTACAGTATTCTTTATCCGCTGCGTTGTAGATTTACGCGATCAGGTAAACTAAATCTCGGACAGGCTGACGGTAACGCAAGCTACATCTCGGACAGGTCTTGTGCCACGAAATCGACCATATAAGATTGCGCATCTTCTTACTTCTTCAGCGATTTTACATAATCCTAAGCTATTATTATTGTTATTTTGAGAAAGTTAGAGCGTTTTCACACACGCCGGCAAAATCGGTGCCGGTGTCGGAGCTGAAATCCATTGCAATATAAATAAATTAGCTCCTTCACATATACTCCGATCCGGTAAAATAGTTGGAGACCGGCAAATACAATAGAATTAAATACAAGTGTCGGAACAGGTGCAAAGCTGGCGCCGACTCCGGCACCGATTTTACCTATGTGTGAGCAAGCGCTCTACGTAAGTAAAGTATTTTAAGTTAAAGGCTCATTTTTGCTGCTAAGGCGAATCTGAACGGGGCCTACTTTGTTTACGCGGAATCCGAACCGCGGTTCTCGATCATATTGTTGTCAATGGTCTACCGACTTGGGAAATGTCTTTACTCACGAGATATCGGATCTCATCCGGCCTCGAACCGGTGGAAAGAAGCAGTGTGTGTGAATAGATTTTACACTCTTGCCATGGAAAAACAGCACAACAGATCTTCCAGACGACCACCCATCTACTCGCATCCTTTAATGTTGCTTAACTTCGGTGATACATCGGGAACCAGTTTTGACGTAGCTAATTTTTCTAGAACCCTCGAATTATATAAAGTGATCTGAAGAAAAAAGCCAAAAGTGCAATAACATACAGGGTATTTCATTTAGAAAAAAATCATCCCGATCCACTCATAGCTTTTGCCAACAAAACGGCCTTGTTTACAACTTTACACATATCTATTTCGAGTTTTGTCGATAACTGATTGATTCGTCAGTCAGAAAGGATGTATATCATGTGAACATTTTAAACCCTGTTTTTAATCTGTATATTTTTTATTTTTAAATTATGATAAGTAAATTAATACCTGATATATCAATATCAGTGTTTGCAACTTGATTAATATCTTGCATTATATTTCCTGCTTCAACGATATGCTTTCTCATCAAAATGAGCATAACCAACATCGGTAGTAGACTCAATAGTTCAAAAGTCATGTGAGTAGATGATCCAATCCTCCATAAAAGATAACCAATATGAATAGATTTTTCGATTTCGCATCTTGCTACTCTAATATAGGTATATAAAAAAATAAACTTCTTTAGGACATAATAAAAGCTGTAAAGCTGGCATTTTGGCATTGAAATATTTTACTCTTGCAAAATGCCACTTGGGAAATACCACTTTTGAAATACACATTTTTTCCAGAAATAGAGAAAATCTTCGAAAAAATGTTTTACCTGGCAAAAAATATTGAAAAGTACAATTTTCCCACAGCTGTTAATTCCTCTCGTTCCACGGTAGTTCTTTTCCTATTACACATTTCAAAGGCAAACACTTCCAAAGCAATATTATGCTTTTGCTCACCAAACAAGGTACCCAGGCGAATCATGTTAGCATAAGCCAAACATATTAAATTAAAATCTGTAGCTGACCATCTTGCTTCTTTTAAGCTCCACATAGCAGCTAGTTTAGCATGCTTGTACTGTTTCTTTAGCTAAACAACATAAATTATCATTTTTAAATAAATCTTAAACATTTAAAATTTGTGATTAATACATTTATTTTAAATTAATAATACAATAATACGTACCACAGCCTATTTATTAGACAGCCAGCCCTACTAATTATAGCCCCGTTTTTAAAAACTATTGAGTCTAGTGCACTGACTGCCTGCGTCTGTACGAAAACAGAAGCGGCAGGTGAAGGGTGAAGCACGGATACTCAAAATTAACCGAAGACGACTAGCTGGCTACCTAACAAGCTGTTGTACAACTATTCTGCCGTGTTAAGTAAAAACACCAAATCTGATGAGTTGAACGAGTTAAAGTCTTTTTTGTTAATAATTGTATATGAGACAGTCTTATATAACATAACCGCCATCTGTCCATTCTAAAATACGACAAGATAAAGTGTTTCCAAAAAAGTCTGATGGGTATTTCCCATCACTTGTACTGCAAGCAAAACTAGAAAATAAAATAGTTATTTTTTGTAAACGCTGCTGCGTTAAGCTTGATTTTCATGCATCCGTTATCCGTTGATACAATTGATGGTCAAACGCGACGGCGTGCGGCGTCGGAGCTGCGCCCTGATCAGCCATAGCGTTGTCGCGCCACTTTTCAACCGTAATGTGCGTTCACATTGGCACCGCTCGAGCGGTGAACGTTGCGCGATGCCGCTCTAGCGATACCCATAAATAATTTTAACATTATATTTCAAATGGAAGCATTCACATTGGAGCTACGGATCGCTCGGCGTTGTGATTTGCAACGCATCGCGCCGCTAGTGGTTTTAACCTGCTTGAATTTTCGGGCGACGTCGCTTTCTTTACTGGACGTGTATTTTTATTTATTTTAGTATAATTGAGTGCCTTAAAAGGGGATCATGGACTTGGACCGAGAGTTATTAATTTCAGAAATTCAAACACGTCCAGCACTTTGGAATGAACGGCATCCAGATTATAAAAATAGGATTATTGCATCAAAACATTGGGAAGAAGTGGCTAAAATAGTAGGGGTATCAGGTAAGTAAAAAGAAATAATATATGGCTAATTTAATAAGAATTTTAATAGGTGAATAAGTTAAACAAAAACGTAATATCTTTCTGAAAAATACCAAAGTAATATTTTTAATTCTCTAAAAATAATTTGCCAACGTGTCCCTTATTTCTTTTGCTTCATTTGTGGATCTTCGTGCCCCATGGTCTGTAGTTGGTGAAAAATTACTGTTTTGTATTTTTGTATTATTAGAAGAATCAGTAACTATATTAAAATAATCAGGATCATTATCTCCATCCCTTTCTCTAACTACATTGTGCAATGGACATGTACATTTAATAATTGCAATAGCTTTATCTGGCTGTACTTCAATGTCTTTTTCTAATATGCGCCATTTTGCTCTCAATATTCCAAACGTACATTCTATACATTTTCTTGCACTTGATAGCCGTTTATTAAAATTTTCTTTTAAAGGGATTTAGATTTCTACTAGGAAATGGTCTCATTAAATACGATTTTAGGGGGATATGCTTCATCCCCTACGAGGACATGAGTACTTTAATGTTGATGTTTGGTAGTTCTTTGGGTGGTGGTATGTTGAAATTGTTATTTTCAATAAGATTAAATAATATTGATGAAGCAAATACTCCCCCATCACTTTGTTTTCCTCTTGCACCAACTTCTATTGCAATAAATTTCTTGTTAGCATCAGCAACACCCTGTAATAAAATAGAGAAATATTTCATATAGTTAAAGTAGGTAGAGCCACTGCCAGAAGGACATTTTATCTGACAATGTTTTCCATCAATTGCTCCGATGCAGTTAGGAAAGTTCCATCTTTTACGGTAATCTTCAGCGATATTTCTCAATTGTTCTAGACGTGGAGTAGGCATAAATTCATCAACTAATTCTTCCCATATCGTAATGCATGTGTTATGTATAATATAACTTAGGGTGGATACTCCCATTCTTATTGTAGTGGCAAGATTTCTGAAGGAAAGTCCCGTAGATAGATACCTAAAACATAAAAAAATAAAAATTAGCTTGCAGAGATAGAACATGTAAAAATTTCTATAAAAATCATTCTTCGAAAATTTGTCTGTTTTTTGTATCCACAACAATTTTTTTAGAAAGTTTGGTGAAGGCTAAATGGAAAAATTTAAAGGACAAGTTTCGAATTGAGATGAAAAGTTTGTCTAAATGCCGTTCGGAAGCCCAGGAATACAAAGGAAAATGGCCTTTTTTTAATATGATGCAGTTTATTAAAGGTATCATAGCTCCAACTGCTACCCAGGGAAATTTGAGTGCGCCTGTTAATCCAGTCAGTAATAGTGACGTAGAAGATACATATTTAGATAATGATGTGACGTATCCGGATGCTTCTTTAATGCAAGAGAGTATTGCGACAAAGTTTCAAACCTCGAATGCTACTTATACAATACGGCCTTCCACGCAAACTACCAATTGTTCTATAAATTCCGAAAAATCTACACCAAAAAAAAGAGGACAGATCAGTCCGAAATTGATAGATATATAGGAATGGAACAGCAGAAACTTGAATTCTTAAGGAATGATCAAAATAGAAGTTCGGAACTCATGCAGAATCCTGATTATCATTTTTTAATGAGCTTGTTGCCATATTTTGGCGAATTTGATGGGATCGAAAAACTTGAACTCCGGACAAGTGTTCAAAATGTAGTTATGGAGGCTCTTAAACGCAAGAAGCAAGGCGTCTCTTTGAACCAAGTTCAAGTATATTCTATTAATGTACCAGTAAGCACAAATAATGGTACCAGCGACTCAACAGTAGGGAACTACGAACAGTCAACGACCTACTTACTCGATTCTTTCGACGAAACTTAAAAATGTGAATTACGATTTTTTTAACTTAAAATTTATTTGTTGTATTATTAAATATTTGTAAAAAGGAGAATACATATTTTATTTTTTTTATATTTATTTTGTAATATTGCGATTACCTGTGTAATAATTAAATTACAAAAAAACATAATTGCTTACCTTATCGTAACGTACAGTTTTTCTTCTGGAGAAACTGGTGATTTAAAATTAGTGATTTTTATCCGCAGTCTATCTTTTATTTTCGTTAATATATAGTCAAATGTTTCAATTGACATTCTCAAAAACTCGAAAAATCTTGCAGAATCTTGTCGCAGTTGAGGATACAGTTGATGAAATTCTCCATAAACGTAGCGCATTTTATTTACTTCATGAACAGCTTTTCTTCTTTTTTTTCTTTTAAAAAGGAGCCTTGGTAGTCGTGAGTTTTCCAACAGCAAATACTTTTTTACGGACGACATTTTTATCGTAAGCTATCACACAACTAATAACATAACGCTCACCAATATGAACACGACAACGCGCCACAACGCACGCGATGACATCGCTAGAGCGGCATCGCGCAACGCTCGCCGCCCAAGCGGTGCCAATGTGAACGCACACTAAATTTTTTACTCCAGCCCGCCAACGAAGAGAGTTAAAATAATTTTAACTTTTCGTACGATAATTGATGTTTGGACACTTTCTTGAAAAATTTAATATATTAAAATAACAAAATATATAAAAAATATAATATAATATTATACAGGGTGGCGCACCTCATTTGCCTCGGTTGATTATACGAAAACGGAAAGAGGTAGAAAAAAAATATTTTATGGGTATATGCGGGGAGACAATGTGCACAATCTAAAATTATTTTGAAATATACAGGGTGTTTCAGAAATAAGATCCATACCAAAGTTATATTTTTTCTTATGGAACGAACATCTGGTATTTTATTTAATTTTTGGATTCTTGGGCCCAAAACAAAGTATTTATTGTAAGGTTTAAAATCTAAATATGTTTAAAATCTTTGGTTTTTGAGATATTTAAAGATATTTTAATATGCACGCTACAATAGAATAAATTATAACACTCTGTACATTATTTTTCAGAATTAATTCTTGTGCTGAGTTTAAAGGTAGAGAAATAAACTTTACTGAAAAATGTTATTGCTTCCTTAGATTTATACAGGGGTACCAAAAATTGCTGATCTAATTTAAGGATTTATTTTATATAAAAAAACTTTGTTATTTCAAATGCAACGCCCTGTTTTTTTTAAATAAATCGAAGCAGATTCGAATGCTCTTTCAAACTATATTAGGGATTTCTATACATACCTAGCTCATATTTTGAATAAAAAGCAATTTTTCAATAAAATGGCAATCAAGATGGCTGGTGTCGCCATGGCAATTTTCTAGTGACACTTAGTAACTACTTTTATAATCGACATTAGTTTATGGACATTATTATTTAAATTTATAACAGTTTACTTAAATTTACCTACAATAGTTTATTAAGTAAGTATTCATTATTTTATCAAGAAAAATAAAGCAGTATCTGCTGGCGGAACGAATGGATATGTTACCACAGAAAACATATAATCTAAGATTATATCTATGTGATGTTACTAGTGATTTTATGTTGTGAGGTAAATTGCTTCTTGGCCTCAAGGGCTTATGCTCAAAGATATAGGTATCTTCCGGATAAGCGTTCCTTCGAAAAACTACTTGGCCTATTTCGCAGAGCCGGTAATGTGGTGCATAAAAAACTATTAGGCAGAAACCTGTCGTTGGAAGTGAAGAAAATGAATTTGCCGTAAATTGGCTCGTTTATAGAATCGAAAGTTACAAGTCATCATAAAATAAGTGAACCAACTACTTCTCCGTTTTTCTTGATAGAACAATAAATACATATTTAATAAATATTATTTATTAAACTACTGTAGGTAAATTAAATAAAAGTAAACTGGTATAAATTTAAATAAAGTCTATAGACTAATTTCGATTTTGAAAATAGCTACTAACTGTCACTAGAAACTTGCCATGACGACACTAACCCTCTCTGTTTCCATGTTATTGAAGAATTGCTCTTTATTTAAAATCTGAGCTAGATAGGTATAGGAAACACTAATATAGTTTGAAAGAGCATTTGAATCTGCTTCAACATATTTAAAAAAATACAGGGTGTTGTATTTTAAATAACGCAGTTTTTATGTAAAATAAGTATTTAAAATAGACCAGCAATTTTTGATACACCTGTACCGGATGGCCAACTAAGAATGGACGCCCGCTCTATCTCAGAAACTACTTATCGTATAACTTTGGGAAAAAAATTCTTATAAATAAATCGACCAAGAGAAATCGCTGGAAATTATTTTCAAGTTCGAAAAATGTTTGCTAGAGGGCGTTTCGCTGATAACCAATTAGAAAACAGTGGTTTTCTCAAAAATATGCAGGTGAACAGGTATTTTAAATATTACTATTGTAATCATCAAGAAATTTGTAATTTTTTTGATATAGAGTGTTTTGCTCTATCTCATAAAATAAAGTGGTGGGGGAAGGTTAAACTTGCTTTTATTAAAATAAGAATAACTCTGGTTTAGGCTAACCGATTTAAACAAACTAGGGCTCGTTTAAAAGAGCTTTTCTTCCTTAATGATCTCCAGTGTAAATTTTGTTTCCATCATCTTTTTCGTGGTAGCTAGAGGGCGCTGTTTAACATCATAACAGATATTGCGTTTTTGCATAAAAAAATTAAATAGGAGACTATATTTCTCTTTACACAGTTAAATAGAGCACAAAATTTCCAAAATATCAGCGCAAACCGCAATTTTCTATCTTGTCTCTAACCGGAGATATTAAGAGAACAAATTATGTAAGGCTGCCGCTTAGGATTATATAGTTTAAAAATTATAGTAGTAGGCTAGGAAACAAATAGAGGTAAATTGGTTACATTAAAATATCAAAACATATATTTTAATTTCATTTTAATACCATTTAATTGTTATTTATCCATGTTCGTTTTTGATTCGACCCCATAAATTAAAACTCAGGCATATTGAATCCGATGACCTAGCTAGCCACGGAAATATGCCGCTCCAGCGTCTCTATCTACTAAAGTTAGTGGTATCCAAGAAGCCCCACACATTCATAGCAAAATATGCGACACAACTGCACCAAACTGCATTATCTACACCAACTGCATTCATGCTGATGAAATTGCAACAAATGCATTTTCATCATGATGGATCCCCTAACAAAATTGGCAATTCATCTCTTAGAAAGTATGGATAGTTCATTTCATTCAGATAATCATTCGCCATCCTACAATTCCTGCCTAAACATGTACCGGACCAACGGTCTTGGTGCTGAACTACTTGCATCCAGGGTAGATTTGGACCAGTAGTGCATATTGTTAACATTCGCACCTTCGGGGCTATATAAAAAGTTACCCAAACGTCATAAATTTTATAATACAATAATAAATAACTAAAACAACAGGTAAAACACAAAAACAAGTGAAATCAAGGACGAACTTGGATAAATAGCTAAATGACGTTACATGAAATAAACCCCTAGTTTTCGGTTATACGAAATTTGGCCGTTTTCTGTTAATAGCAATATGGCGGCACAAAATTCCTAGAAATTTTACTAAAATTATTGATTGTCCGACTTTCGGACATTTTAATCTGAGAATTACCTACGTATAATTAACCAAGAAATTCGTAAAAATTATGTGGATGGCCGATAATGTTAAGAAAACGCCCGAAATTCAGATGCATGAAAACTGAACTTAAACGTTTTGATATTTTGACGTAACTAATTTACCTCTTTTTGTTTCCTAGCCTACTACTATAATTTTTAGACCATATATTGTATAATCCTAAGCGGCAGCCTAACATAATTTGTTCTCTTAATATCTCCGGTAAGAGACAAGATAGAAAATTGCGGTTTGCGCTGATATTTCGGAAATTTTGTGCTCTATTTAACTGTGTAAACAGAAATATAGCCTCCTATTTATTTTTTTATGCAAAAGCCCAATATCTGTTATGATGTCAAACAGCGCCCTCTAGCTACCACGAAAAAGATTATGGAAACAAAATTTACACTGGAGATCATTACGGAAGAAAAGCTCTTTTAAACGAGCCCTAGTTTGTTTTAATCGGTTAACCTAAATCGGAGTTATCCTTATTTTAATAAAAGCAAGTTTAACCTTCCCCCACCACTTTATTTTATGAGATAGAGCAAAACACTTCATATCAGAAAAATTACAAATTTCTCGATGATTATAATAGTAATATTTAAAATATCTGTTCACCTGCATATTTTTGAAAAAAACCCTGTTTTCTGATTGGCTATCAGCGAAACGCCCCCTAGCGGACATTTTTCGAACTTGAAAATAATTTCCAGCGATTTCTCTTGGTCGATTTACTTATTAGAATTTTTTTCCTAAAGTTATACGATAAGTAGTTTCTGATATACAGCCGGCGTCCATTCTTAATTGGAGACCCAGTACACATTAAACGAAGCAATCAAATTTTTTAAGTTAATTTGTTTGGCATAAAAGTCAGCACAAGAATTAATTCTGAAAAGTAATGTACAGGTCGTTGACAATCTTTTTTATTATAGCATGCATATTTAAATACAGGGTAGTCCGAACTGTATTCCGGAAACTTCGGCAACATATTCTGCAGATAAAAATAAGTAAAAAAGTTCGTATAAATGTATGTAAAATGCTTAGTTTCGCAGATACAGGGTGTAGAAGTTTCATTTTTATTTCGATTTTATCCAAATAATTTATGAAGTAACGTAAATATTTGGATGAAAATTGGTGTTTGGTGGTTTTTTGACATGAGAAATTTGATTTTGATGTCAACATGATTCCTACTTCTAGAGGGCGCCATCTACATATTTTAACTGGTTTGAAGAGTAATGAGTTTTAGTCCGTACCTGTATAAAACTACTGAGTAAAAAAATATACATTTACGACATTTTTTGCGTAAAAAAGGTCTCTTGGGAAAAATCGCTACGAGTAATGGTTCTCAAGATATTTGGAATCGAATCTATCAATACTTGGCAGAAAAATGTATGATTAATTTATAAAAATAAAAATTTCCCGAATTTATTATTTCAGTCAAATAACTATCTACTCAACGTATTTATTTTTTGTCAATAATGACATGTATTGACTATTTCCATTCTAAATATCTTGAGAAGAGTTACTCGTAGCGATTTTTACCAAGAGATATTTTTACGTAAAAGGCATGTATATTTTTTCACTCAGTACTTTTATACAGGTACAGACGAAAAGTTATTGCTCTTCAAAACAGTTAAAACATATGTAGGTGGCGCCCTCTACAAACGGAGTCATATTGACATCAAAATCAAATTTCTCATGTCAAAAACTCCCAATCACCAATTTTCATCCAAATATTGACGTTACTTCAGAAATTATTTGTTATAGCCAGAAGTTAGGTTTACAGATATACAAATTTGCCTAACGAACAAAAAAATGCTTAACGTTTCGGAAAGTTTATCTCTTTCCGTTGTCGGAAGCAAAAAAATACAAAGAATAAAGAAAAAAATATTTAAAATATTTAAATTCAACTATTCGAGACCACTTTAGTTTCTTAAAACAGATACGTCTACAAAGAACGTCAACAGTTTTTGTAGACGTATCTGTTTTAAAAAACTAAAGTGTAAACCTACCTTCTGACAGATGAACTCCTAAAGGCTGGTAGGAACGGAGCGCGTACGCTTACTGCAGTATACACGGGCCACTGCCGGCTGAGATCACACCTACAGAGGATGGAACTGGTGGAAGACGCCGAATGCCGACTCTGTATGGAAGATGACGAAACAATGAAGCACGTTATGGCCCGCTGGGGGCAGGACCAGGTTTGAGGTGTTTGGCAAACCCACTAGACCTATCAGACCTAGAAGACATATCACCCTCGGACATAACGGCCTATGTTAAAAGGCTGGGTCTTGAGGGCGAACTTTAATGCTCTTTTTCTATTAAAGAGCTTGTAGAAACTGAGCCACAATACGCCCTCGCGGCCTCAGTGTGAGTCCAGGTGGGACCCACTCTTAGTAAAATACAATAACTTCTGACAAATTTTATTGCGGTGGCGAAATACCCATATAGGATTTTTTTGAGATATTTAAATATATGTTTAAATATCACAAAAACCAAAATTAGTAAACATATTCAACCCTTATAGTAAATGCATTATTTTGTGTCCAAGGATCCAAATATGAAATAAAATACCGGGTGTTCCATAAGAAAAATATAACTTTGGTATGGATCTTAGTTCTGACACACCCTGTATATTTCAAAATAATTTTAAATTGTGCATATTGCCTTCCGACATATACCTATAAAATATTTTGTTTCTACATCTTTCCTTTTTTGTATAATCAACCGAGGCAAATGAGGTGCGCCACCCTGTATAATAAATATTATAATATTTTTTTAAATATATTTTTATCAATAATTTATTATTTTCTTGCATTAACAATACGAAACTCTTTATCGTCTTGTTAAAAAAAATAAAAAGTAAAAATTCATTCCCGAAAGAACGTTTGAAAAGAAATAGTAAAACGTTCATCATATCTTGTTGTGTTATGTTAATAACATTGTTAATTTTAGTATAAAAAAATATTTCTCTGTTTTCACAGTACGTGTATTTATATACAAATTACTGTAAGTCATGCTTATACCTTACTAATTTACGTTAAAACTGCATATAATTAAGTAATTGATATAGAAATCATTCAATTCTTTATTTTTTATATTTATTTAGTCACGTTGTCTCATATTTGAAATAAATATGTTTGAATAAATTTTTATTTTGTTTTATTTATGATAAGAAAGAGTACAAAATACATTTAAACTGAAAGAGGGCCCGCCATTGAATAACCGGAAACGGAAATAAAAATGAAGCCATCATGTCAACCTGTCAATTGAAAAATTAGTTCTCCAGACGACAACAAATGCTTTCGGTGGCGTATCGTGTTTCCACTATTTAACACCAATGACTAAAGAATATAACGCCCATGTACTGGCTGCCGCAGAATTTGTGACCTTTGACCCTAGATAAATGCAACAAGTTTAGATTGGAAAGCCCGTAAAAATTCTAAGTCGAGAAATTATTTTGGGTCGCGACCGTTATACGCGATCTGGCGCTGCTATAGCGGTCGCTAAGAACAACGGCAAACAAAAACAGAAATAATTTTCTCTTGTCAAAGTCAGAATCTTCAAAAGTCATAATAATCTTTCAAAATCTAAACCGCTCTCATTAAAGAAATTCCGAAAAGTGTTTATAGCGTCCATTTTCAAAGTAATTATTGCTATCTTGTGAGTTTAATTCAAGTTTTATTTACTCCAACCGGTAATAATTGTGAAAAAGTAGCATTAAAAACTTAAAAAGCTGTGTTGTGAACTGTGAACTGCAAAAACCATCGTGGATCGTGGCATAACGTCGGTTTCCAATGTTTCATAGGTATTTCATACATGCGTTCTTAAATTCCGGAAAAAGCCGAACCGCTCCGAAATTTTCAAAAGTTTTGGGTCGCGACCGTTGCAAGAATAGCGCCAAATAGTGTTTACATTGTCCTTATAGGCACTTTCCAATCTAAACTTGTTTCATTTATCTATGCCTTTGACGCCATTCTTTTTTTCATTCAATGAGTCATCTTTTGGTCACCAGCGACAATCACCAGCGACTTTTGGTCACCAGCGGCAAAAGGATTTTCAATAGTTTGTGTCAGGGGGGTGACAGTGAAATAGGAAAATTGGAAACAGTCATTAGTGTCATTCCTGTCATTCTCCTCACGACAAGTATGGCCGCCTAGACAAGGACAGCATTGTTTTTGTCTAACTATTGTCTAACTTCACAGTTTATAATTGACAGATTTCAGTTTCAGAGACAACTTCAGATTTGTTCTAGAACAAATTCGAAAATATTCGACGCCATTTTAATTCATTCCGTTTAGTTTCGTTTTGGAAGTTCAATTTAATATTTCGGCTGACATTTATAAATATAATGGTAATAAAGTATATAAAATATATATTACATGAAGAATCCTGGAGAAAATGACGTTTCTGCAGTAGTAGGTATGTCCCATGTATATGAAAAATAGGTAGTAAATAAACACTGTTTTTACATTTTTTAGATGAAAGAAAATGGTGTTATAATCTCTTTGATCGGCGATTTTTTTGAAAATGGAAACAATTTACAGCAAGGTAAGATCATTTTTAACTATAGCCAACATTAGTTATCTCCAGTACGTGCGATTTATTGTCAATAATGCAATAAATCGGACTGATAATCTGATTATGTTATCCGACTAAAAGTGTCTTTTTGCTTCTTTTTGATAAGCCAGGTCTCTTTGGGAATAATGGACGCTTTTTTAAACAGTATATTTATATTTTATACCTATTGATATTTTTACATTGTTAATTTTAGTATAAAAAAAATTGTTTTTCTGTTTTCAGGTTTTTGTATAAGGCTCTCGTTTTCATGTCCCTGTGTCCGTTTTCTGTCCTTGAAGTCTGCGAATACGTGTGTTTATTTACAAATTACTGTAAGTCATGCTTATACCTTAACTAATTTACGTTAAAAGTACATATAATTAACTAATTGGTATTGAAACAATACAATCCTCTATATTTTTATATTTATTTAGTCACGTTGTTCCATATTTCAAATAAATATATGTGAATAAATTATTTTTTGGTTTTATTTATGAAAAGAAAAAATACAAAATACATTTGAACTGAAAGAGGACCCGCCATTGAATAACCGGAAACGGAAATGAAAATTAAGCCATCATGTCCTTATCATGTCAACCTGTCAATTGGAAAATTAGTTCTCCAGACGACAACGAAGGCTTTCGGTGGCGTATCGTGTTTCCACGATTTAACACAGAGTTGACACTTCTTTCTAGTTAATTATTTTATGGTTTGTGTGTAGTGAACTGTATAAACTTTATTACAATGGTGATGATTTGTTGAGCTTTCAAGTGTAAAAGTAGCAGCGATATGAAAGAGCCAGGAGTTACGTTTCATAGGTAAATAAACAGTCCGCTCCACCTTTTTAGCGTTTTTTAGTTTTCTTATTGAATTCGATAATTATTTTTCTGATATTATATGTACTTGATGTGTGCTATACATCGATACTAATTTTGTAATTTATTAAATTACACAGTTTTATATATTAATACTAGTTTATTAATTTTGAAGTTTAACTTGATATAATGTCATTTAAACAAAACTTCAACGGTTTTTAGAGACGTATCTCTTGAAAAAAAAACTAAAGCGTTCTTGAACAGTTGTATTTAGATATATTAAATAGTTTTTTCCTTTGTTCTTTTTGTTTTTTTTGCTTCCGACGACGGAAAGATATATATTTTTCCCGACACGTTAAGTCTTTTTTTGTGCGTTAGACAAATATGTTCATTAGCGCAGAAGTGTTTATAAAAATAACTATTTTATTTTGTAGAGAAATCAATTTACTTTTAATCCAAATGACACACAACTGCCAGTGCAATACGACTTTTTATTGGACACACTATACATTTATAACAATATAAGTTAATTAAACTTTAGTTTCTCGATTTTTTCTCCCTCTTTGACTATTTATTTAATATTAACAGCGATGTTTGACTTACCAAGAAATATTTGCAGAGGAACCCGAGACACTCCGATAAATCGTTATAATAATTTGAAACATCATCATCGGCATTTTTATTGGAATAGTTGACAGGTAAAATAAAAAGAGATATGTTTTGATGGAACTCTAAACTCATTTTACGAAGACTGAGCGAAACAGAATTTGATGGAAATTTAACTCCTAAAATGAATAAAATTTGGTGCTAAAATTAAAACAATTATGTCTAAAACAAATTATGTCTGGCAGAAGATTGAACATAATACACATTATGCTATTAATCTGTAAATATTATGTTCGGACTTGTACAGGGTGGGTCAAATTGGACGCTTTAAATGGAAACTGTGATGAAAACACCTTTTTCTATAGGAGGTAGATGAAAAGTAATATCGATGTCTGGAGCTCAATTTTTATCAAAACATGATGGTGAAAACCGCACATCGATATTTTTTCGTCTATATAGTTTCGGAGTTATGGTGTGTTTTTGAAAAATGTGCATTTTTAACAAATCGTTGTAACTTCTTTGCTATGGAAAATTTTGTATTTTTATGAAAACATTTCCAAAGGAATTTTTTACGTAGAGTTTAATGGTTTAAGAATATTTTTTTTAAAATTAATAATTTAAGACTTAGCAACAGAACATTTCATTTTTTATTTAGGACACCCCGTTTATTTTTAATTAACTGAAAAGAACTTAAAATACCTTTCCAAAAATATAGCACACTTGATATTTTGATATAGTCCTCTTCGAAATACAGAATATTTAAAAGTTCGCCACTTTTAGTTCGCCAGTAGTACTTTTAGTTCGCCACTTTAGTTCGCCAGTAGGCTTTGGACCCCTTTTTGATGACCTGCCCATAATGGAACTTGAAAACATATTTTTCCAATTAAGACGAGGCACCGGCTCATTTTAAGACGAGGCACCGGCTCAGAACGCTCAAGTTGTCAGCAAATTTCTGCAGCCAATTTCGAGAATAATTGAAAATTGAATAGCTAACCAAGATCCCAGCCGTAGGCCGCCGAGGCCGCCGGACTTAGTGCCTATGGATTTTTATCTTTGCGGAGGTATAAAGATTCTTGTCCGTATAATCTACACAAGAATTAGAAGTGCTTAATGGTTATACGAGGGTATCGTATAATCCATCACCATCAAGTGAACGAATTTTTAAAAACTCTATATCTCGAAAAGGAATCGAGTAAAATATCAAGTATGCTATATTTTTGGAAAGGTAATTTTAAATTCTTTTCAATGAATTAAAAATATACAGGGTGTCCTATATAAAAAATAAAATTTTCTGTTGATAATTCTTAAATTAATAATTTAAAAAAAAATATACTTAAACCATTAAATTCTACGTAAAAAGGTGCTTTAGAAATGTTTTCACTAGTAATACCATTAGAGGTCAAACAATTTTCGGATTTAATTTGACCTCGTGTGGTATTCGGTAAGAAAATTCCACATCAAATTGTGTTTGACAATCAAATAATTAAAATTCATTTTTCGATTTTTGGTCGGCTTGATTATTTAATTACTATGGTAACTAAGTGACACCCAAACCTAAAAACTATTTCAGTTTTGAAGCTGTCAAGCGGCACGACATAACAAATGTTTCGTTTCGGTCAAGAAAGCAAATAAAATAATAAAATATTCGCCAGGAGATTAAGCAGTTGCTAGAAACTCTATTTGATTTTCAAATACTTAGGTTCATGAACAAATTTAGATTCGGTCGAAGTTTCGTGATCATCCTAGGTATAGATTACAAGCCTGCGATAATTCTTAATTTCTACTCTTTGTAGTTGCATTAAAATGAAACCTAGATCGTAACATAATAATATTATAGAATTATTATATCATATTCTTCTATTTTATATCAATTTCGAGTTACTACAAGTGGGAGAAAGTTATAATTTTAACAAATTTAATGTGCTTTGCAGTTTCGGTTATCGCTTCTCAGCCTGCCCTATGAGATATTATTGATTTTTACTTGTCGCAGTTACACGATAATGCAATTTTTTAATGAAACATATTACATTCTTTGATTTTTTATTTACTCTGGGCTACTACAAGTGGTAGAAAATAAAAATTTTATTAGTTCTATAGATACATACATGAACAGATTCAGTTTGTCTTGTCACCAATGGATTCTTAGTCTATAAACTGTTGATTTCTACTGATTGTAGTAGCTCAAAAGTGCCATTTTAGGACCTAAAATATTATATTCTTTCATTTTACAGTTACTTGGGCTTACTACAAGTGGTAGAAAATCATAACTTAAAAGGTTTTTCGGAACGCTGCATGAACAGATTTACAGCGCGTCACAGTTCTGGCAGCAATTTAGTCCTTTAAATTGTTGAATTCTACTCGTTGTAGTTGCACGAAAATACCATCTCAAGACGCAACACAATATTGTAAGAATTATTTAAATATAGCGCCAAAACTAGGCTGACAACTCCTTCCTGGAAGCATAGAATTATGGGTAGCTTGTTGTTATGGTGTTGTTAGTTGTTATGTATTGAGAAAAAAACAAAATTGGAGAATAAAGTATAAAAATTACATGAAGTCATTTTTATTGTAAATACAATAAAAATTAAGGCTCCCCCATTTATAATATATTCTTTAATTTTACGTTAGTTTTAAGTTTTGAGCAAAAAAAAACAAATAAAAACCAGACTCTCAAAAAGATATTCTGTCATTATAAACGTCAAAAAATTTCCACAAGGAGAAAAATTTCACTAAAATTTATCCGTTGCCATGGCGATTTGTCAAAAAAACACGTTTTGATTGGTTAAAAATTACAGGTGTGGAATTTTCATAAAAATAGAAAATTTTCCATAGCAAAAACGTTGCAGCGATTTGTTAAAAATGCGCATTTTTGAAAAAAACTCCGAAACAGTAACAGATATGGATGGTGCGGTTTTCACCACCATATTTTTGATAAAAATTGAGATCCAGACACTGATATTAGTTTTCATCTATCTCCTATAGAAAATGATGTTTCCTTTTAAAAGCGTCCCCTTTGGTAAACGTCCCCCCACGGCAAACAAATAGTTTATTTAGCTAATATATCTTACCATAACAATCCAAAGCGCTATGTAATAGTTTGTAGCCTTCATCTACTTGTTGAAGCTTCATCCTAGCCCAGCCCATTATAGCATAGAGTTTTCCTTTCTTTAATGTTATCACCCAATCAAGTTCTGTTGTTTGTTTTAGAGGACCCTAAATTACATAATGAGTACTGAACACTAGACATAGGACTTTGTATGAAATACCTCAACAAGAGCTATTGCTTCGTATAAGATTTTCAAAGCTTGAGGAACATTATCAGATTCGATACAGACATAACAAAAGTCTATCATTGCGTTCAACATCTTTTCAACTAATCCTAAATCGTCAACCATTAAAGTAAAAGTATAATAATATTAATTATTTTGATAGGTCACAGGTTAAAGCTTAACGCATTAAATGATGTAAAATTGAATCATTCCTACCTGCACCACTACAATGTTCAATCATCTGCACGTACATTGTAGTCAAAATTAATGGACAAGTACATTGGCTATAATCAGTGTCAGAAAAGGTGCGGGTTATATTAAAATCGTTTTTGTACTTTTGAATCATTTTCAATCCAAGTCCAGTTTCAAACATTGGAAAATCAGCTAAACAAAAACACAAATACAGTCCATAAATTTAATAGTTAATCTAAATACTAACTACTATGTATTTTTGGAATCAAAATAAGTTTATTGGATATATAGATAAGATTTACCTCCACTGGGTGCGTCTCAAAAGTGGCTCACCCCTATAACTTTTTTATAACTTTTTATTTTTTCAGATAAAAAATCGAGATTTGGTATATTAATACATAACATAAATTTGGATTGATTGACGTATTCAGCTGTTTTCTGTCACTTTCTGTTTTACCGGAAAGGACCACAACTTTTGATTTTTAAATGGTACACTCGGTGTTTTGTAGCTTTAAGCTTGATTTTAATGCATCCGTTGTCCGACGATACGTTGATACGATATTAATTTCATTGGTTGTATTTAAAGGCTTCGATTGGTTAACCGTTTCTAACCAATCGAAGCCTTTAAATACAACCAATGAAATTAATATCGTATCAACGTATCGTCGGACAACGGATGCATGAAAATCAGGCTTTATTCGATAGAAAATAACACTCTAAATAGAATATAATAAAATTATATAATATATACCTAAAAACTGCAAGAAATTTATTTTCCATTATCTAAATAGAATGACATATCATATATCAACTTTTGACACTTTCAAATATGGTTTATTTAAAATTGCAACATGCGATTCATAACGACAATTTGACTCGAAATACTGCGAAGTGTGTGGTACCAAATTATTCGTAAAAAATGCTTTTTCCAAATATGCTAATGAGTCAGCCTCGTTCCATTTATTAAAATATGATTACAAATACGATTTGGGTATCTTTTAACCGGCCAGGACAAGACACGAATAAAATTAGAAGATCAAATCTATTTTTCCAAGGCTCCTTGATTAAAAATTATTTTTTTTAACACAGCCATTGCACTCTAGATTGAAATTTAAAATTCAATTTTGTTTTAAGCGAAAATGTCAAAAGTTGACATATGATATGTCATGCTGTTCAGAATGTTATTTTCTATAGAATAAAGTAAAAAAATACCGAGGGTGCCATTTAAAAATCAAAAGTTGTAGTCATTTCCGGTAAAACAGGAAGTGGCAGAAAACAATTGAATACGTCAGTCAATCCTAATTTATGTCATATACTAACATACCGAATCTCGTTTTCTTATCTGAAAAAATAAAAAAGTTATAGGGATGAGCCACTTTTGAGACGCACCAGGTATACAAAAGTGCTTATATTGTCCGCTAGAGGACTTCAAACTTTAAAAAATAGACACATTTCTTCAGATATTTTAAGAACTGTTATTACTATTTGAAAGAGATTTTGGGTCTTTATGTTTTGCTAAGTACTCTAACATTTGACTTTCACAAAAATCAAGAAAAACTACGGAAAGGGTGAAAACTACCCCCACCCCTGCATACATTTTAGTATAAATATTTCCCTCCAACGACGACAGATTTTTTTTCGTAAAATGGTCCGGCTAGTATTTACTACATTTTCTGCCTCTTGTAAAAAAACGCCACCATAGAAACGATTTTTTTTTCATAACTAAGCATTCACCAAACAGACTTTAATTACTAACTTTTTTTAAATTTAAATAAAACAAAGAAGTACACTATTTTATTTTAAAAAATGTGCACTATGTGCGCATATTTGAAGTGAAACTTCTTCTTACTTCCGTCTGTCCGTCTGAGGACTCCATTCGGGTACCTCTATCCGCTTGCCGAGTTTGGTTCGAAATGCCAAGGCCGTCATCCTGTAGCCCTTCCCCAATTATGCCGAAATCGACCCACATTTTTCTTCAATATCAAATCCTTAGTGCCTCCCTGATAAAGATGTAAACAAAACCGTCGTATCCAACTTTGCAGGGTGGGACCGTGCGCACCGACGCGTCGCCAGGGCCGGCGGAAGAGCCGGGCGACCCGGGCGGTCGCCCGGGGCGCCGTGTACGAGGTGCGCCACGACGCCGACGCAACTAAAATATTTAAAAACAGTAATCTAAACAAAGAGTAACGAATGACCAGATCAATAATTAATCGGTACTATCAATTTCCACATTAAAACATTACCAATTACCACACCACATAGGGAAGAATATCTGACTAAACATTATAAACACTACTATGTCCTTGACGTATCCTATTATAGTTTACTGAAATTATGCTCAAAAAATCAATTGCACGAAAGCTTTCGGATAGTTTTGATTTCTTCCATTCTATATGTTTTGGTGCTCTATTCGAAACTGGGATTTGCGAATTTATTTTCGTGGAAAAATCTTGAAATAAAATAAAAAAATATAAATCTGATTTGTGCGTGGTATTTTACTTATAATGCAAAAGCTATCAACATTTTGTAAATAACCTTTTTTTTCTATAATTCTTGTTTATATAATTTTTCTCTAAACAAACTGTTTTGGGTCAAGAGCCAGCAAAATTGACAGTTTTAGACTTAAATCGCTCAAAATCGCACTTTTTCTATTACCCTTTTATTTGTTATTAATGGCTGATGTACCCTAAAATTATATGAGATAAATATTCATTCACAAGAAGCTGAAGAGGATCTCGATATCCTTATTATCCAAAAAAAAAGTATAAGTTTGCCTCATTAGTTAAATTAATTTATTAACAGTAATGGGAAAATATATCAATCTTTTGGTGATTGTAGAATTGTTCTCAATTTTTGAGAATTGTAGAATTTTCTCATTAGAGCAAGACAAAGGAATGCATCTCAAACACTGGCTGAACCTCATTGAAAAATTTTCTTAAATTCTTATAGAAAAATAATGCAACTGCTTCAAACTAAATACTAGGGGGCGCTATTCTGTAAAATCGTCGGTACATGTAAGTTACGACAGCTCTCGATACGTACGGCCAATGAGCGTCGTGTTAATTGTTGTTGTCATAGTTTTAGCTGTCATTAATAGGACATATAGCAAATTTGTACCGACGACTATCGGTATCTCTACCATGGGGTTAACAAGGGCACGGTAGAGATACTAATCCTCGTCGGTACAAATTTGCGATATCTGTCATAGGGACGATCGATAACTATGACAACAAAAATTAGCACATACTTACTGTATACAAATACGTACCGAGAGCTGTCGTAATTTACCGATACCGACGATTGTCGATGCTGTGTACAGAATAGCGCCCCTGGACAAGACACGAAAAACATTAGGCGATCAAAATAATTTTTGCAAGGCTCCTTGTCTAAAAATTAGTGTTTTTAACAGAGCCATGGCACTCTAGATTGAAATTTAAAATATAATGTTTTTTGAACGAAAATGTCAAAAGTTGACATATGATATGTCATTCTACTCAGGGGGGGGGGCGCCAGATAGGGTACTCGCCCAGTCTCAATATTTGTCTTCCGCCGGCCCTGACCGTCGTTCACATAGGCTACCCACCAAATTTGGTTGCGATCGAACGACATCACTTTTGACGTTTCTTACGTCAAAACTAACTATCACAGTGCCATCTGTAGTACACAGTCAAGTTCGCCATGATCCAGTCTATCGACATACAAAATTTCATTTAAATCGGACGATTTTTTGATTTGATTCATTGATGATGGGATTTCGTAGTGTACGAAACGTCGTCAAAATAACATAAAAAGTTGTTACATTTTGAGTTTCAGCTCGCTAGCTCACAGTCCAAAATGTTACATTCCGAGTTTCAACCCCCTATCTTACATAGGGCTCGAATTACGACGCGACGCTTCAAAGACCCATTAAATCGAACGATTTTTTCGCCATTGATGATGCGGGGTCTCATAGTGCAGGAAACGTCGTCAAAATATGATAAAAAGATACATTCCGAGTTTCAGCCCCTTTAATCACATAGGGCTCGAGTTACGACATTCCCAAAGACCCATCTCAACTTCCTCATTGAGTTACCACATTTTTTTTCTCGCTAGCTCGTATGTTTTTACTTACGAATTTACTTTCCGAATTTTTACTTCCATCACGCGTCAAGAAGTTTCACTTCAAAAATAATTTACTTCAATTAATTCACTTGCTCCTCAAAATAAAACGTGGGAATAAAAATCAAATGCTGTGTTAAAAGATTAACTCCATTGATTTATTTCACGCTAAATCTTCCGTATCGCAAAACGTTTAATTAGACTGTAAAGTAATATATGTTACTTTCTAATTATCCACTCTTACCTCCTTCAACGTCCTCGTCTAAGATCCTGGAAGTCCCATAATTTATACTATCGGAAACAATACTGGGTTGTCCTGATTGACTATATTCCTTAGTGGCTTTAGATGGCCTGAAACGAAATATTTTCAAATGTTAAGCAGCAATGTTAAGTGTTTTCAGCTTATTCTTTTCAAAATACGTCTTTCGGTTTGCATAAGTTTTTAATTGCCTTTAGTAGTCTGATTAGGATCTAAGAAAAGAGGAGAATAGATTGAAATTGTTGCTTACAAAATTGAATAAATCGAAGAAATTAAATTTTCAAATTCTATCGTGTTTTTACTACAACGAATAATGAATATACACAAACATTTTCTTTTCCTCCATTTACAATTCTGTTTATTACCTAAAAAAATGTAGGGTACCGTAAAGTTACATTCAGAACCTCGAAATTAATGATATATATTAGTGGTTTCAATTATACTTTATACTGAAAAGTTTAAGATCATTCACCAATGTCTCTTGGCCAATTCTTTGGCTGAATTTAAAACAAGTTCCTGAGTTGATTTACGTATTTTATTATTTATTTATTGCCAGTATATTTTTATATTATATAAATAAACGACCATCGTATATTCAAAGGTGATGAAAATCAGAATCATAAATAAAAATTATTATAATAATATATTATGAAAGAAAAATAGAGAATAGTATGTTTATTTATGATAAATTATGAAAATAAAAATTATTCAAAATTTACTAACAAAAAAACAGGTCGTTTTAAATAGAATATGGAAAAATATAAAATGCTTTTACGAATCAAGTTCTGATATCTTTCATTTATTTTATTATAAATAGTAAAATATAAGTTTTTATGTCAGTTTTTATTACCTATGTCAACCTTAATTTTCGTTCATTTTGGATCACACTGTGCAAGGTGACCCATTTTCCTGTGTTTTACAGTGTTTCTTGTTTATGAGTAGAGGTATAAAGATGCGATTTTTCCATTACTGTGCTATTTTTTTTAAGATGCTAAATCCTACACACTGATTTGTCCTGACCCTCTTAGTTCCTGAGATACAGGGCGAATTTGAAAATGTTGCACTTTTTGACTCGTATATCTCGGATATTTTATAGCTTATCGTAAAGGTGGAAACTGAGTCCCACAGAGTTTCACGTAGAATTCAGTGGCGTAATTAGATTTTTTATATGCAGATGCTTATATGTATATAAGCCCGCGTAATCGGCAATTGGGACAGTTTTGAAGTTTGAATATACCGCGTTTTAAATTATTACGAATCGGACAATTTGGTGAAGGAATTTTATAAATAGTTAATTGTGTGTTATAAGTAGTAAATTGTGTGTAAATTAAGAGAAAAATAAATTCGTTAAGTATTTTATCGTGAGTTTAAATTAGTGGACCCACGGAATCCGTAACAATAAGTTTGAGTCATATTTCGAAAATGACAGCTCTCAGCGAAAATGACATTATAAAAATAACATTTTAAATTCCGCCCTGTATTTCAGGAATTAAGAAGGCTAGGACAAGTCTATGTGTAGCATATTTAGTTTCATAAAAAAGTACTACAGTTATCGAGCACTGTTACTCGAGAATATCATCCCTATAAAACACAAGAAAATAGAACACCCCGTACTTACAAGTTACTTACGTTTTGCTGTCACCAGACTCTCTACTAAATAATGAATGTATACCTTCTTTCTCGAAAGTATAAATGCTATCCGCATCTACAGACGACTGACTAAATCTTGCTTTTCCCTTTTTTTTACCACGTGTACATTTTAATTCCTGAAATATAAAATAGATTTATTTACTACTACCACGTGACGTAAGTCTGTCTTGCGAGAGAACGGGCAATTTCGTCAGTCGACATCCAAAAACTGGCAGAACAAACAAATAAATTTTGAATTAATATGATAGGCAATAAATAATTTACTGATAAAGACTTCAGCCATCGTTCACTGTGACGTCATCATTATTTGTCAAATATGAGTTTTAGGATGTGTCTGAGATCAGTTCATATTATTTAGAAGATTTTAATTGCGTTCCTCTATTATTGATTGAGCGAGTTCCGTTTTTTCGGCATTTATTATTTTTTTCTTGAACTCTTTATCAGTAATTCCAGTCCTTTGGACTGTTGAAATTCCTATTTCTAAAGCATCAGCAACTCGCTATGTTATTTAAAAACGCTATCAATTTGTATTTTATACTAGGGCTGGCATTTCTGTGCCGATTTTCGTGTGTACGAAGAGAACGGTCAACACGTTTACCAAAGATGTACTGAATAAAGACAGAAGGCAAGTATTTTCCCAAGCGCATGGAATCCAGCGTCAGATTAAGTGGTTATGTAATAAATACTTCGTATTTTTTTCTCTCCGACTTACTAGATTGTCATAGCGATTCACTCCTATACATGTAAACGCCGACCCAAGGTTTCGCTTGCCAGCAGGGTATAGGAATATATCACCTGTGCATTACTGACTTCATATACGGCGACCATGAACAAGAGTGATACCAGCATCTCTTTCTCGAGAAAAATAGTTTATAAGCTTAGCAATGAGCTGTTGTTCATTTTGGTTAAACTTTTGAAGCATTTTTGCAATAGAAAAATTTGAATTTTGTTTTACAGCAACAATCAAATTTTAATTTTGACATTGATCGATGTTCGCCAATAAAATTATATGACAAAATAATTTTATTGAAGCCAAATAAAATGGCAATTACTAAAAAGAAAATGCAGTAATTTACGAAATGCCGTAATGACGTCACCAATCTCTTTCATCTGTTTGTCAAATGAAAGTAAGAGTTTGACAATATATGACGTGGCGGTAAGCGATGGCTGGACATTCTATATGTTTTCTCTCGTTGGACGGACTTCTATTTTAAGTTATACCGGGTGCGTCTCAAAAGTGGCTCAATCCTATAACTTTTTATTTTTTCATATTAAAAACGAGATTTGGTATGTTAGTATATGACATAAGTAGACATATGTTAGTATATGACACAGTAGTATATGAGGGATGATTAATGTATTGAAGTTTCACCTGAAATGACTACAACTTTTTTATTTTTAAATGGCTCCCTCGGTATATTTCTACTTTATTCTATAGAAAATGACACTCTGAATAGAATGACATTGTCAACTTTTGATATTTTCGCATATGGTTTATTTGAAATTGTAACATGCGGTTCATAACAACAACTTGACTCGAAATACCAAGTGTATGGTACCAAATTATTTGTAAAAAAATGCTTGAGCCAAAACGAGCCAACCTCGTTCCAACTGAAAAAAATGAGTGATAAAAATATAATTAAAAATACGATGTAGGCATCTTTTAACCGGCCAGGACAAGACACGAAAAACATTAGACGATCAAAACTATTTTTCCAAGACTTCTTGATTAAAAATTAGTGTTTTTAATTTTTAATACCCATGGTACTTTAGATTGAAATTTAAAATAAGATCTTTCTAAAGTAAAAATGTCAAAAGTTGATATATGATATGTCATTCTTTTCAGAGTGTCATTTTCTATCAAATAAAGTAAAAAAATACCGAGGTGCCATTTAAAAAGCAAAAGTTGTAAAACAGGAACAGTGGCGAAACAGGAAGTGACCAAAAACAATTGAATTCGTCAATCAATCCTAATTTATGTCATATACTAACATACCAAACCTCGTTTTTATCTGACAAAATAAAAATGTTATAGGGGTGAACTACTTTCGAGATGTACCCAGTAGAGTCTGTTCATTTTCACAAAGTGTTTGCCCATGGTAAAAAACTTCCAAAAAGTCCAAACCGCTGTCAAAAAATTCTTTATTAGTGAACAGCAGAACAGACGGGACATTATTAGAAAACGAATATCTGTTTTTGACAAAGGTCTGATGATGGCTGGAATTGCCGAAACTGGTCACTAACAAAGAATTTTTTGACAGTGGTTTGGACTTTGTTTTTGATTTTAACATTTTATTTTTAACAAGTTATTTTTTTAGGCTTTTATTTATATTTTAAATTATTACAAGATTATTACATAGTCGAGCTTGTTTCCCATATATCTTGTAAAATATCCATTTCCACAAGCTCTGCACTTTCTCGTTTCTTTTTCCAAATATCTAATGGCTCTTGTATGAAATTCTCTTTTTTGATTATCGGTCAATAGATTATAAGTCGTTTCTCTAAATAACGTGGATAAAAAGCGCATGTAACCGCAAGACGCGTACTTCGGTAAATCTTGGCAGTTTTCTAGAATTAGAAAAAATAAATAAAAATGTTTATTATAACTTCAGTATATTTACTTTATTAGGTATGCAATTAATTATTTTTTTTGACACGTATAAAGATATGCATTTGAAGATGAATGACATCTCAAATTCACTACTTAACAGAATAACAAAATTGGCATGGAAAATATTTGGATGCAATTCCTGCAATTTCATCACTTCACAAGTCTAGTACTAGTATGCTTTTAACTCAGGCTTTCGATCAGTTGATAATGGTCATGACATATTAGTCTGAACCTTATACAATGAAGAAAAAATCATAAAAAATACCAGTTAGTATAAAAGTCTATAGGGAGATGTATAGTTGGAATAAAACAATGAATGACTACAAGAACAAAGAATTGTCAAAAAAACGAGGTAACCGATGTGATCTACAGATTTAAATTCCTTAAACGGCAATTAGTTCTTCATTTAGCTAGAAGGATTGACAAAATATCGATCACCAATATTATACATCGCTACTTGATAGATGCATTAAGCACAGATATTGTGTTCTTCTATACCAACCACACATTTGCCACTGATATCACACTGACATAAAATGTGTTCTGCTGTTTCTTATTTTGACAAAATCTGCACATGGATTCGCCTGTCACTCTCATTAGCTTTAGATGCCTGTTGAGCTTCCATTGTCCTGTTAGTAGGCCCACTACAGTCTTCCTGTCTTTGCCTATCAGATCTACCTGCGCTCTAGTTGCAAACACGGTACAACAATTACAAGAAATGTTGAACACATATACCTGGACATACGAGGCTTTGGGCCTTAAGCTAAACATCGACAAAACTAAAATCATGTGCACTCCCCCGAAAGATCACAACAATGCTATAAAAATTGGAGAAGAACTATTCGAATATGTCGTGGAATTCAATTACCTTGGCAGTTTGATTTCGGAAAAGGCCAATATTGACTCTGAAATTCAGCACAAGATTAGTAGCGCCTCAAGAGCATTCTGGAAATTAAAAGACAGGGTTTTCTACAATCATGACTTGAGTACAAAAACAAAACTTGCAGTATACCGAGCAATTATAATCCCCACCATGATATACGGGAGTGAAACCTGGGTGCCTTACCGCCGACACATGAACGCATTAAACAAGTTGCAACAGAGACACCTTAGACAACTCTTAAGAGTCCGGTGGTTTCTTCATGTCTCAAACGTATCGGTCCTTGAAAAAGCTAACTGCGAGAGTATTGAAGTCATGGTCACAAAATCCTGCTTAAGATGGGCTGGTCATGTATGCAGAATGCAAGAAAACCGCATACCAAAATCTCTGCTTTACGGTGAGCTTGTAGACGGTAAGAGGAGGCCGGGTGGACAACTGAAAAGATACAAGCACATTTTCCACGAAAATTTAAAGGGAATTAACATGCCGAATGAATGGGGAAAATCAGCTCACAATAGAACTCAATGGAGAAGGGTTGTAAACTCAGTTAACAGCGGCAACCAAAAAGTAAAGAGGCAACAAAGCAATGAGATTTGTGAATGTCCGGAGTGCGGTAGGCAGATAACATCATGTATCGGGCTTTTCAGTCACAGAAAAGCTCATGAAAAGAAAACGCCTTGCGTGACCGTCTTCTTTATGTGTGTCCAATACTCGTCAGCGAGTAACGGCTGTATGTATCAGGTCTACCGTAAATTATAAACCTTTTTGCCAGTCTGACTGATATTGATGAGCCTTGCTTGACCATTTTATCTGTCGTTTCGTTGCCCTTGCGAACCTCGTATCCCAGTGTGCAGGCCAACGTAACATTGCTACGTTCTCCCAACGTATTTAGAGCACGTACAAAATTCCACACTAGTATATGTACCTACCATCAATTACCAGTCCTTTACATTGACAAGTGACTTCGGTTTCTTCATTAGGATTTTTTAATCTTTCTTTGAAAACTAGACCACCCTCTACGAAGTTTCCACGGGCACAGCTAAGAACGTGAATTTCAAATAATTTTTGAACAGCTAAAATTTAAAACGATTAATTATTTTTCGCTTATGAAGCAGATTGATACAGCCGCTATAAAAATATTAATAAAATATTCATAATTTGAGTGGGCACGATTTACATTTATTTCCATATGAAATAACATTTCAATAATTAATAAGGACCAAGTTCTATCACCATTCGTAATAAACTTTTAGCGAATTTACAATAAATATGTATACAGGGTGTCCTAATATCCCGTGAACATAGAACTACTACGTATTTTATTGGAATCAAATTAAGGTCTTTGGATACAATTTACTTCTGTAACAAAGTGCTTCGTTTGTCTGTTAGAGGGCAACAAACTTTAATAAAACAAACACATTTTTTTAAGATATACAACCGATATTTCGATTTTCCGATGAGATTTGAGGTGCCTACTACTAAGCGCTTTAACAATTGACTTTCAAAAACTACAATAAATAGTACGGTGAGTGTAAAACTACCCCCACCCATGATACAAAGAAAACAGAGTATGATCGATAACGGCTCCAATTTACGTCATACGTCATACGCCATTCAAAAAAATATCTGTATCATTCAATTGCCACTAATAAAAAAAGACCTAAAATAAGGAAGAATTAGGACATAACCTCAAAACTTATGTCAAATCATTGAGCTTGACATTAGAAAAGTAATTTTCACATTATTATGTGTCATCAGTTTGACGATTTGAAATTGGCGCGCGGAGCTTATTGACTGAATGGTGCCGTTACCACCTGTGACGTAGTGACCAAACCTGCGCAATATCATACCTTGTTTTCTTTGTATCATGACCTTCACCCCTATATAAATTTTAGTAGAAATATTTTTCAACTCTATCTAAATCCGCCTTAATTGAAATAACTTTGACATTTAACAACATATGCCATTTTTGACAATATGCAATAAAGCATGATTCAAAGAAAACAAGGTATGATATTGCGCAGGTTTGGTCACTACGTCACAGGTGGTAACGGCACCATTCAGTCAATAAGCTCCGCGCGCCAATTTCAAATCGTCAAACTGATGACACATAATAATGTGAAAATTACTTTTCTAATGTCAAGCTCAACGATTTGACATAAGTTTTGAGGTTATGTCCTAACTCTTCCCTATTTTAGGCCTTTTATTAGTGGCAATTGGACAATATGCATATTTTTTTGTATGGCGTATGACGTCACAGGTGATATGCGCAAACCTTTGAATAAAAAAATTAAGGAAGGAGCATATAAAAAAATCTTAGATCCACCGCGATGGGACTCAAATATGGCCGACTTAAATTCCGGTATATCAGTGCCGTTCTAATTTTATTTAAAAAGTGTAAAACTAATGTAGGTCAGACGTGGGGTAGACTCAATAATTTGTTGTTTTATTTTACGTTGTTAAAATTATTAGTTATTAAAATTGTCATAAAAATATACAATTCTAATAAAAATAGATAAATTATAATAATTATTTATTAACACAAACATCCGATACGCTACTGAAGCAGGTAAGTCAAATTGACGTATCTAAATTCTTTGACATCTAGTTAATTTAAGTGAATTTCATAAATGCTCGGTTTACTACACGTATGTATATTATACAGGGTGACAATTTGAAAACAAACAGTATTTAATATTGCTTCTACCGATGATAGTATGAAAATTTGGCGAAACACGTCAATTTACATATTTTTGAGGCATTTGTTACAGGACAATTTTTGAGGCATTTGTTGTCGTGTTACTTTCAACCCCTTGACCCCAAATGCACCTACCCCTAAAATTTTAAATAGCAACCCCAATTTCTTTTAGCATTTTTGTGTTTCTTATAGAATTCTACATAAACTGCATTATTTTTTTGAGAATTTTATAAGGAACACAAAATTGGTAGAAGAAATATTGGTTACCATTTAAAATTTTAGAGATAGGTGCCCTGGGGGTCAAAGGGTTGAAAGTAACACGACAAAAATGCCCACTTGTTGTCCCCCTTGATATGTAAATTGACGTATTTCGCCAAATTTTCATACTATCATCGGTAGAGGTATAATATTAAATACTGTTCGTTTTCAAATTGTCACCCTGTATAGCACTTACTAGCGAAAAGTTATCAGTGGTAGAATAAATAATAAATAACATAAAATAATAAGCTCAGTAAAGACTGACAAATCCACAAAATTTCAAATCAAATTCAAATGTATCAAATGAATCGTCAAAGAAAACTGTCAAGGATCCCCAACCTAGAGTCTTTTTTCCGCCCACCATGCATGAATTACAGGATAGCATTATACTCCTTCCTTAATCTTTTTATTTAAAGGCAAAACTGAACGAAATTGGAGCCGCTATCGATCATACCTTGTTTTCTTTGTGTCATGGCAATAAAGTATGACTAAAACATTTTCAATGTGTTTTTTTAATGAATGTTGTATCTCCACAAATATGATAAATTGTGTATAGCATGTTAGAAAGATATGGCTTATCTCTGCATACCCAAAGCTGTCAATCTAACTGCCGAAGAAGACATTATGTACATGAGCATATCTCTTGGGAAAATGTCGCCAAGAATTGCACTGCATTTTATTAATAGTTGTTCGTACGAGGTTAAAGAGTCGAAGGTTTTCAGAATAATAACATCCATTGCTAACTCTGGCTCGACCTCGTCTATATTGAAAGCTGGATTCAGGACGCACACTCTAATGCCAGAATACAAATCAAACTTGTCTTTTAAAGTTGTAGCAACAGTTAAATCTGGATAGCTTTCCTGAAAAACGAAACAAGTCAAAAATAATTACTTACCACCTTTTTTAATATACGGCCCTGGTCACTTTATTTCTGTAGCTCCTATAATAAAAAACTTAGGAAATTTGCTTAAGTGCAAACCTAAAGTATATATTAGGAAAATATTTTAACTTCTACAATGTGACTCAAAAAAGTGTGAGTGGATCGAGATGCCTTTTTTAAATGTAAAACCCTGTATATTTTTACATTTTTGACTTCCTTGTTGATCACTTTACATAATCCCAACATATTATTAAATATATTTTGATACTTTCAGAAATATTAATAAATAAATAAATACAAATATTTTTTCAGTTTTTAAAAAAATATTAATAATACTAGAAATGTCCTGAAATCAAAACTATACTGGGTATTTACCATAGTTGGTCCGTACTTCCTTTACTATAAATATCGTAATCCTAAACCATACAGGGTGTTCAAAATTCTATGCCAAACCTTCTAACCATTTTTCTTCATTTTTTTAAATAGAACTGCATATATATTATTTCTTTTTTAGATGGAGAATTAAAAAATGAACATTTTTGTATGTAAACTATTTTAAAAATTTTAGCGGTTTCATAAATATTTTCGTTTTTTTATTACCTATCGAGGGTTAAAAGGTAATCGTAAGTGCAATTTTGCTCAAATTGAGATTTTTATTTTATTAGAAGAAGAACAGGTGTTGCTATCAAATAGATTAACATATGTTTTACCATTTTCGTATAATTACGCGGGGAAATGGAAAAACAATTCCTTGTTAAGCTTCCCCGTAACTCTAGTTTTTTTATTACAGGAGCTATAGATGCCCGACCCACTACTGCCGGACCCTGTATATACGACCAGTTGACAGACAGAGAGGCATAATAAAAAGCGGCATACAGTGTTGTCGATTCGTACGTGAAATAACATAATAAACGAAGATAATGCATCTACACAGAAAAAAATAACTTGGCGTAATTAGATAAGATTTATTATCTGATGAGTAATTTACTGAATTATTTGTGTATATTTTTGGATTCAGATAAATCAGTAGTCAAATTTACTAGATACATTATGCACAAGAATCATTTTTTTCATCTAACACAATATTTTCTGGCTCAAATTAAACTTTATTTGAATTAGACTATACAACTTACTAATTATTAAAAACACATAAATCGTTTGTTTATGCTTATTAATTTTAATAGTGTAGTTTAACGAAATAGGACGTAATAACTTTTAAACAAGTGTTGTTTAGTACTATTGTCTTTTTGTGTAGACCTGACAGAAAACTTTTTTATTTGACTCAAATTTATTTTATATCGTTTGTGTTTCAACACAATGTTTTATTAAAGTAAGACATAATTTTGTTAAAAACAATAAAATAACTTGTAGACGAGCGTTTGTGAAATTATTTAACTTAAATAAGTTTTAAAGTACGCTAGCAATCTAAAAACATAACTTACGTGCCCGAAAAATTTGTTATATTAACAAATTAATGTTTGAATTAGACAAGGTTCTTAGCTACTCCAGATAGTGATACGGAATAATGGAGACTATTTATTTTTACGCTTAACAAAAAATATAATTAAAACAGATCGTAACTTCTTTTAGCCCTTTCGTCAAGATTTTAGGCACTGCGTCATTTATTTCCATCTATAACAGCGTTCGCATCGTCTTAAACGTTTAATTAATATATATATGAAATTTTTTTTTTCGATTGTTTTACCAAAGTCTATATATTACAATATATAGAAACAACCAGTCTATATTAAAAAGTATATTATAGATTTTGATTTCACTGTGTCAAATGTGTAATTAGGAAATAATGGAACAAAAACAAGATTATTGATTGAGTGGGACCTCGAAGAAATCGTGAAAGATTTTGTGGGTAATTTCCAATTCTATTTCGATAATTATTATAAATATTAATTTTAAGACTAAGCAACATAAAACGATAAATGCAAAATTCATGAATTCTATCTTTTAGTAAATTTAAAGGCAGGTTTATATAACATCGGTTCTAATCATAAGAACATTTATAAACATAAGAATTAAATCAAGCATTTATTTATTTATACACCAATCATAATATTATCAATAGCCGCCCATACAGAAATTTTCATGTTTTCTAGATAAAATCATCCCTGAAATTACTGGAATAAAATTTTCAGATAACTCTCTATAATAATATATTATGTACTTATAATAGTAAATTATTTCCAGGTGGAAAATTATTTCCTTCCCTGATCATGGAATGAATTTATTCAAATAGAATATGCAAGTCGTGACAACTTTTCTAAAGACAACGCAATAAAGAAACTACTAAACGAGCTGACAGATATTTCTTCAGGTAATTATCTATAAAGTAATAGAGATTTAATAATTTTATATTTATTTTTTTAGGCGCTAGAGCTAAGATTGTTATGCAATTTCTGGCCTATATTTTTCCAACAATAAATATCCCAAAGGAAAAACAAGCAGGATGGTGGAAGCTCCCTCGCTTAGAAGTTACTGAAGGATAACCATAAACCTGAATCTACATAAGAACTTTCTCTAAGTACGCATGTGTGCTTATCTACCCTAGCAAATTCCCTTTTCTGGTTTAGTAAAAAACTTTTCTAATGTAGGTGATAAATTAGTTCCCTCACATCAATATATTATATACACCAGCACACGTTTATTTTGTATTTGATAAAATAAAAGTATTTACTACAACATGCGATTTTTCTAAATTAGTACTTCTTCCTATGTACCTTAGTGAATTACCTCCTCATTTTTTGATAAAACGTTTGTTTATCACACAAACTATATTTTTCATCTGTTTTCAACTACTAAATTTTCTTTTGTAGTACATAATATTTTATTTCAAACACAAAAATATTTATTATTTCTTAACAATTATTATTTTATAAATTACATAATAGGGTTATTGATATTAGGAGAGAAATTCTTTTCAAAATATTTAGATACGGTAAATTAGGTTTTGTCTGTCCCTATAGTTCTTAAGTATTTTATCTAATCTACACATGTTTTTTTTTCTGTGTAAGTTATTTAATATATGCCCAATCCTGTTGCTTGAAAACATGAAATAAAATATCTCCAGTTACTTTTTACAAATAACATAGAAATAGATATTCATTGGTTTGAAATAGTGTAATCGTATTTTAAGGTGTAAAGCTTCGTTCTCAAACTAGTGTACCTAGTATCACTTAAAAACTAGCAGTATCGCGTGCTACACGCCATAGAACCAATAAATTTGTGCTTAATTCAAATACTCGTAGCTATCAATTTTGATTATTATCAAATTTATATTTTAATAATATTATATAATAATAATATAATTATATATAATAAACTTAGTTACTAAACTAAGAACTATGATTGTTTGTTTTTGTAGTTTTGCCAGCGACATATCGTAGTTCAGAGTAGTTCTAAGACAGAGGCTTAATAAGAATCTATTATAGCTGTAGTGAAATGAGTATGTGGAAATTAAAAATTCAACCCTATTAGATGCAACATTTTTGGTAAACGCCTAGGTTTGCTATTTTCATGCAAAATCCCGCAATAACGCATAGCAGAAATCTATCAACGTTTTTCTCTTTAATACTAATTAATACATTTGATTTTTCATTAAACTGTCTCCATCGCTGATTTCCATATCAAATTTCAGACCACGCTTCGATGGTAACTGATGGTGACCAGATCTGTATAGTTATTCTTACCCTACAACTGTCGATATACATTTTCCATCTAGTTTCCATTTTTTCCGATCCACCCTCTTCCATTATTTCTATCCAAAGGTTTTTCTCCTCTTCTGACAATCTATTTTTTAATAATACATATATCATTAGGATGCAGTCATAATACCTGTTTTTAAGAACCAGATATGCACAAAATTTTTATCTATAAATATCAATTAGAAAGAACAAGAAGTTATTTGAAGTTTATATATTTTTTATTTGCCTATCGATTTTATTGGTTAAACGATCTTCAAAAGGAAGCAAGTATATTTTAACAAACAATTTTAATATGACAATGAAGACACTTTTTCAGTATCTGTAATTTAATAGCTTCTTTCGCATAAATGTTAGAAATCGTATTTACAATGCAACGGTCCGACGCGCGACGCGACGTAGGCTAAAGTGGGAAGTGGTGTAATAAGTATATTACTGGTTTTAAGAATTTTTAGCTTCATATCAGAAAAAATGTGATTACTTTCTATTAATTCTTATTAAAAGAAGCAAGAATAGTTCCTATTAATTTTTTTTAGTACATTTATGATATATTGGGTGTTTTTCGAAAGTAGCCCAGTCTTATAACTTTTTATATTTCTTCAGATAAAAAACGATATTTGCTATGTTAGTACGTGACATAAATCAGGATTGATTGACGTATTCAATAAGTTTCTGTCACTTCCTGTTTCACCGGAAATGACAACTTTTGATTTTTAAATGGTACCCTCGATATATTATTACTTTATTTGGTAGAAAATGAAATTCTGAATAGAATCACATATGTCAACTTCTGACATTTTAGCTTAAAAAAATGTAATTTAAATTTCAAAATGTTACCACTATTAAACAATAATAATAATTATATTTTAACAAGCTAAAAAACTACATAGATCGAATTAAACAAGATTTTTTCAATACTCCAGAGGTAATAAAAATAAATATAGCTAAGCATATACTGGGCGTTGCAATTTCTATGTCATACAGTATATTAACCTTTTCTTAGTAAATCATTTTGACGGTTTTCTTTGGCCGTAGAGCGGTATATTTTGTTATTTGTAAATAACAGTTTTAAAATAACAGTTCGTTAAATAACAACCAGCATCTAGTTTAAAATACTATGCTCTGGAAGCTGGAAGCAATATTTAGGTATGAAACTTTTGTTGTGAAAATTTCATGAAAATTGAAAATTAAAAGATAAATTAAGAAAACAACTTAAAAATACTACGTTTAATAATAAAATTAGTAAAAACTGACTTGGAAAATCAATATTTTTCTTTAGCTTTTTCAAGAATATTTTTAGTTAAAAACATTCGAAATTAAATACACCAGTCTATACCTTATCATCATATACAGCGGTGGAAGTATTAAGCCATTTTCATATGCCATTTTTCTCGTTATATTTTTAATAAATAGGCCATTAGATTGTAACAGTGTTATAAGAAAACTTTCTATCCATCCTGGATTGCCATTACTTCTCTCTTGTATTACTCTGAAATATTAAATCTTATAATAAACGTGAATAAAAAATAAAACAGTACACAAGTATATTTGATACCAATTAAACTTTTAGTTACGTAATCAAGGGCACGCTTTTTAAATTCATTGTTGCAAACCATGTCAATATATTCGTCGCCGGGCTGACTAACTGGAATTTAAATTTCCCTCTAGGGATTCAGGTGGTAGCTCTGATGTAAAAAATATCAAGTTGTCACATTTATTTATTTATTTTCTGACATCGTCATTGGTTTTGCCAATGATTAAAGAATACAAGGACTAATAGCACCCGAAACCAAATTCTTACCATACCGTGCCGTGGCACATATTTTTCTTAACTTAGCTGCTTGAAGAGGTATTTATATTTTTGATACGCCTATGGTGTATGTGTTGGTATTATACTAATTAATTACGAAACCAAAAACGTATTTAAATGTTAACAATAGGTACAAAACTAGTATCGACGTATTAGTCTAAGAGCCAGTGAAAGGCTACCTGTATGTATTTTACTGTACATGACATGGGGACTGTTAAGTCCAACGTGGCGAACGCGGCGGGCACCCAGGTAAAAAAGGCATCGACTTTTGGTAAATTTTAAATGTGTTTGACCACGTCTGCCGTTTTGCAATTTGAAAATATATTATTATTATTATCGGAAAACAACAATGGCAGACCATTGTCGTGCGTTTAATATTGTGGCAGACAGTTTTGAAAGTGCCGAAAAAAATAAAATTTTGAAAGTAATTGACCAGATCTGCCATTGATATATTTTATTTATTAGGGTCTTATAAACTTATGTTAATCACAGCAGATGTCTTTATAGTATAGGAGCTGGCAAACATTGAGGTGAACGATATTTATCAAAATTTTCACCTACATGGTCTAATTATACATGGTATATACAAATTAAAATCGACCGTCTGCCGTTTCAAAGTGGCAGCTTTAACTAGGGGGATGCAGTTAAAAAATGGTGGTTTTAAGATTTGGTGAACAATATTGATCAAAACTCATATTCACTCACTTAAAGAAACAACTAAAGAATGTGCCGAAATCACGTGAGCAGACGATTTATTTGACAGCTTAACCCTGGCAGACGCCTGTCAATGTGGCATATTTTACGGTAAAGTGAACGACAATTATTACACATTAATTTTGGTGGATGTATTCCCCTATTAGTAGGTTAACTAAAAACCATATGGCAGACGAAATATTTGACAGCGTTTATGTGGCAGACGCTGTCAAAGTGACAAGCTCACTCTTAGTAAACAATATTTATAATCGCTTAAATTGGTAAAATAACATAAAGTACAAGGGTATTTTTTAAATTTAATAAAGCAGACGCCCTATGTGACAGCTTAACTTTGGCAAACCCTTGTATTACACAATAATTTTGGTGTGTGTACAAGTATTACACATTAATTTTGGTGTGTGTATTCCCTTATTAGTACGTTAACTAAAAACCATACGGCAGACGAAATATGTGACAGCGTTTCTGTGGCAGACGCTGTCAAAGTGACAAGTTCACTCTTATTGATAAAAAATTAAAATTACTCAAATTGGTGAACTAAATATTAAACAACTTTGGTAAATGATATACAAACATTTTTATTGAAAAATTGGTTAGGTTTGGTGTAAAATAAAAGTAAAAGTAAAATAAATAATTATTCGTTAACTACCATAAAACAGGATTTTTAAACCTTAATAAAATCAGTCTCTCGTTTGTATTCATTAACAAAACCTAAGAAGACTTCAACAAACCTAAAACTATTATTAAAAATATATAATAACAAAGAACATATTCTATAAATGCGAATCTAGTTCCCCAAGTATTGTAAAAAAGCACATTTCTTAAAACTATAAAATAGTTAGGATTTTAAAACATCACAAAATCAGTCTCCCATTTTTATTATTTTACAAATAAGTAACCTAAATAACAGAGAACTTCAACAAATCAACAATCCAGCATCATTCTAAAAAACATTTCTTAAAACTATAAAACAGGATTTTAAAATATTGCAAACCAGCCTCCCATTTTTATTCTTTCACAAATAAGTAACCTAAATAAGAGGGGGAGAACTTTAATAAATCTTAACGTATTTATCTAAACAAAAATAAAACAAAAAAAAATATCTCCTACAAATGAATCTAGTTCAAACATCGTTTCCAAAAAAATATTTCTTAAAACCTTAAAGCAGGATATGTAGTTATATCAAAGAGACTAATAAGTTCCCAAAAACTTGTTGAAAAATGTTGTTTTGACTTTTCCAGAAGCATTAGGACTTCTGATTTTGAGCCATATAGATCGATTTTATTTAAAATATCTATCTAATTATTCTAGGTGGACAATAAAGTTTCACGACAATCTTCTGAAATTCGAAAATAAATATCCCAACTTTAAGAGAGAATTTATGAATGGTTGTTTTAAAAATTTTGATAGCGACCATCTCTTTAACATTGCAACCGGAAAAGCTGCTGACATAAAGAGTGAAGAGTTTTTGTTAAATATTTTAGAAAATGGAAATAATTCTCACTCTAAATTTATAGAAGAATGTGCCATCGACATCACGAGATTTGAGAAGCCGATCAAAAAAATTCAAATCAAAACCTTCGCAAACGAAGGGGTAAAATATACGCTTCGTCAAAAAAATTCCATTTGTGAATTAAAACTGGAAAGAGAATGCTATAAATTTTATCAGAAAAACGAACATGTTATTAAGGAAATAGCACAAGAATATACTATTTGAGCATGAAGAGGCCGATACTAAAATGTTGTTTCATATAACAAATACTGTTTGCAAAAATATAGTTATACGAACTTCAGATACAGATATTCCAGTTATTGCATTAGCGCATGTTGACCAATTTAAAAAAGAAAATAAGCTTGTTTGGATGGAAACTGGTCAAATTTCGAATAATTCGTTAAGATATATTAATCTTACAAAGATACAGGGCTCTTTAGGATCAACTCGTAGCCAAGCACTACCAGCATTCCATGCATTTAGTGGTTGTGTTTACGAAGCCTCATTTTATGACAAAGGAAAAAAGAAACCTTTTGCAATATTAAAAAATATATAGCAATCGAACTCAAGCTGCTTTTTTGTCATTGGGGTCAAAGCCAATTAAAGACATCCCTCAGGAAACACTAAATACTCTGGAAGGCTATGTTCGCAAATTATACTGAAAACCAAATTTAATAGATAAGGCCAGAATGGAATATTTTATTAAAACTTGTGGATGCATACCAGAAAAAAATCCAGTTTTATTAAAGTAACATTTTAATGCTCAAAACTTTCCCCCCTGCAAATCAGTATTATTGCAAAACATTCGAAGGACCAGCCAAATTGCTACAATTTGGACGAATGCAACCAAAGCTACTCCAAAATTTTACGATCGACTAAATAATGGTTGGATATTGAAGGAAAATAAATTCGATATATTGTGGTTTGAAGGGCATCAAACGTCCGTTCAACTTGGTGATATTTGACATAAATCTGATTTAACTAACGAAAGTGACGACGACGGGACGCCGACGCAATTTTGATTGAATCAAGTGACGAGGAGGGTGATTTCTTAGAGGTATAAATAACGACATATTTTGTATTTTGAAATTTTGCAACAAGTTTTTGGGAACTTATTAGTCTTTGATATAACTACATATCCTGCTTTAAGGTTTTAAGAAATATTTTTTTGAAAACGATGTTTCAACTAGATTCATTTGTAGGGCATATATTTTTTTGTTTTATTTTTTTTAGATAAATACGTTAAGATTTGTTAAAGTTCCCTCCCTCTTATTTAGGTTACGAAAGGTTATTTGTGAAAGAATAAAAATGGGAGGCTAACTTGCAATATTTTAAAATCCTGTTTTATAGTTTTAAGAAATGTTTTTTTAGAATGATGCTGGATTGTTGATTTGTTGAAGTTCTCTCTTTTATTTAGGTTACTTATTTGTAAAATAATAAAAATGGGAGACTGATTTTGTGATGATTTATTTTACTTTTACTTTTATTTTACACCAAACCTAACCAATTTTTCAATAAAAATGTTTAAATGTTATTTACCAAAGTTGTTTAATATTTAGTTCACCAATTTGAGTAGTTTTAATTTTTTATCAACAAGAGTGAACTTGTCAGTTTGACAGCGTCTGCCACAGAAACGCTGGTCGTGTGCTTTCTTAAATTTAAAAAATACCCTTGTATTTTATGTTATTTTACCAATTTAAGCGATTATAAATATTGTTTACTAAGAGTGAGCTTGTCACTTTGACAGCGTCTGCCACAGAAACGCTGTCAAATATTTCGTCTGCCATATGGTTTTTAGTTAACGTACTAATAAGGGAATACACACACCAAAATTAATGTGTAATACGTTTCGTTCACTTTATCGTAAAATGTGTCACTTTGACAAGCGTCTGCCAAAGTTAAGCTGTCACATAGGTCGTGTGCTTTCTTAAATTTAAAAAATACCCTTGTATTTTATGTTATTTTACCAATTTAAGCGATTATAAATATTGTTTACTAAGAGTGAGCTTGTCACTTTGACAGCGTCTGCCACAGAAACGCTGTCAAATATTTCGTCTGCCATATGGTTTTTAGTTAACCTACTAATAGGGGAATACATCCACCAAAATTAATGTGTAATAATTGTCGTTCACTTTACCGTAAAATATGCCACTTTGACAGGCGTCTGCCAGGGTTAAGCTGTCAAATAAATCGTCTGCTCACGTGATTTCGGCACATTCTTAAGTTGTTTCTTTAAGTGAGTGAATATGAGTTTTGATCAATATTGGTCACCAAATCTTAAAACCACCCTTTTTTAACTGCATCCCCCTAGTTAAAGCTGCCACTTTGAAACGGCAGACGGTCGATTTTAATTTGTCTATACCATGTATAATTAGACCATGTAGGTGAAAATTTTGATAAATATCGTTCACCTCAATGTTTGCCAGCTCCTATACTATTATGGAGTACACATTTCAGCAGACAACAAAATCTGAAC